AATCCTCACCTGAGAACATGTTTTTATTGATTTTAGAGAGAGAGAATGGGAGAGAGTGGAAAAGAGAGAGAAAGAGGAACACTGATGTGAGAGTGAAACATCAACTGTTTGCCTCCCACACACTCCCCAATAAGGGAACAAACCTGCAACCTAGGTATGTGCCCTGATGGGGAATCAAACCCATGACCACTCGGTGGTATAAGGGACAATGTCCCAACTAACTGAGTCACATGGGCAAGGGCCCTTTTATGTGATTTTAATGAATACTAAAGTTTGAGAGCAACTGATATAAAATTAAACAATGTAAGAAAATGATGAGAAAATGCATTGAAGTTAAAATACACATCATTTTAGTTTATGAAAAACGAGAGTACATTTCATTGGTTGACATGGATAGTTCACACAGCTGGGCTAAAATGGGAGGCAATGAAATATAGTTAAAAAGAAAACAGAGCCTGGCCAGTGTGGTTCAGTGGTTGAGCGTCAACCTATGGACCAGGAAGTCCGGTTTCGATTCCCAGTCTGGGTAGGTGCCCCAGTTGCAGGCTTGATCCCCGGTAAGGGGGCATGCAAGCGGCAGCCAATCAATGATTCTCTCTCATCATTGATATCTCTATCTGTCTGTCTCTCTCTCTCTCCCTCTCCCTTTCTCTCTGAAATAAATAAAAATGTTAAAAAAAAAGAAAGAAAAAAGAAAAAAAAAACAGACCCCAGACTAACCTATGTTTGGCTTTACTTTGGATCTGATCTTACTTAAATAAGGAATACCTCACCTCGTCTTTGAGATTTAACCTCCCGTCTATAAATAAAGATGATAAGATTATTTGTCTTGAGATTTGTTTTGAGGATTAAATAAAATAGGATATATATAATCTATTCCACACAGGGATGGCACATAAGTTTTAAATAAATTCTAGCTATAAGTATTAAGTCAGAGACATAAGTAAGAATCAAGGGTCTCAAATGGCAAGCTGTGACATTTGAAAGCCTTTTTAAATAGAAGCAAAGTTGCTAAAGCTTTAAGAGCCAGTGAGAAGTGGCCTAGAAAGTAATCTCTTTGGAAAATTAAGTGGACATCGTATGGAGAAACTACTAAACAAAATGAATGATGGATGGCGGTTCTGATCGCAAGGCTGGCGCTGACATTTCAGAAATGAGTGGATAAAAGCTGGGCTGACGGGTGGAAGTACATGGGGGAAGGAAGCTGTTTACCCAAAATAAATTACAAGAAAAAACCACCATGATTTATTAAATGATTAGAGATGGAGGAATAGTTAGGGCCTGCCACTTTATCCTTCCCCAACAGCAGGAAGCTGAGAAGGCTCAATCGCTGCCTTAGTACTAACACAGATACCTGCTTTCTGCTTTCCCCTTAGCTCCTACTCCCACCTGCTAAAGCAACATGAGGCTGAGCCTAAGGTGACACAGTTTAATACAAGATTCTATGTGGACCTTGAGACTAGCTAAATCCACTATTTCTCACACTCTCATTATCTGCCAGAACTATGCTACAACAGCGACATTCAATTCCAATAGTCATTCTCTTGGAACATCATTTACCTGTCTAGTTTCCTCGGATTGTGTCTCTCATAACACATTCACTTTAGCCTTTAGGAGATCTCTTACCCCTGATTGCCCCATTTTGTCCAAGGCTGCTATACTGCCCAATGCCAGAATGCTGCATTCCACACAAGCAGTGGCCTTCCTATTATGTTCCGGAGCATGCCATTCACCTACGCCCTGAGGGTGTACAATATGGTGCTACAGACTTTTACTTTCTCCGAAGGCCTGGATTACGTAACTGATCATTGTAGATTTTGCAATTCTGTTCGTCAAACAGTTCTTCAAACCGCTGTCAATCCTACAATCCTACTTTAGGCTAGATCTCAGTTAAGGGTGCCCCCTTTCACCAATAAATCTTCCCTCATTTCATCTACCACCAAATTTGGACCTTCAAAAATATATTTATAGTTAAGGTTTCAAAAATGTATATGCTTTCTGTAATGTATTTTAAACAATTTTTTTATTTGTACTTTTGTTATGTGTATATTACACGTTTCACTTCCCACCCCCATCCAAAAAAAAAAAATTGGGAGAATTTCTAGTAAAAGGGATATATAATTCAAGGTTCATAAAATTGAAGTAGGAAGGTGGGATCATAAAAATAAAGGAATAACATATGTGTTTAAGATGAGATGCAGAGGGGATTTTCACTGAGCATCAATTTTGACCCTGAGCTTCCTGATTTAAGAAAATTTGATTTTTAAGGTATATTGTAAATTTATATTAAAAAATAATCAGATTTTAATTAAAAAATAAAATTTATGTTTTAAAGTTTATGTCGTATTCATCATTTAAAGATAATAAACACTAAGTAACATGTTTGCCTTATTTAATGTACTTAAGTACTAATTTTGATTATAAACTAGAAATCACACATAATCACCATGGTTATTTTGGTAGGGTGAACTCTCTTAGGGTTAAATAACTTGGGGTTAAACATCTAAGAGTCAGATTTAAAACATTTCATGTCTATAATAACTTTATGTTACAGGTCCTAAATCTAAATAATGTGCCTTCCAAATCTCAGAGCTCAATTTAAAGAGTGGTACAGCAGTTAATGAAATATGTATTTGGCATTTATCCCATAATTAATCTAGGTGTTGTATCAATCATTTTGACAGCTGCTCCCTTCACTAGCAATCTATTTCCAGAAAAAAATTATTCCAATTTTCAATATTTTAGATAAAAAGATAAATTATAATCAGTATTATTTTCAATACTAGAGTTATCATCATCTCTAGACTATATATTCTATCAAGAGGTAATATATAGTCTTATATATTAGTAAGTATATCTATGTCCAAAAAATCTACTATTATAAATCTATGTAGAAAAGAAAAGTGAATTAACACATTAAAGAGAAAATTAAAAAAATGCCTTTGCAATTCATAACTTTCTCCTTTCTCTTGTCCCTCCCAGAGGTGGGGTTACTATAGCTGAGTTTACTTAACTCATCATTGGCCACTTGATAAAATAAGAGATAGATACAAAAGGGACTATTCTGTTTCTCTGGCAATTTGGAACTGAGATTGAGGCAATTAATCACTTCTCTATGCGGTTGAGATGTTAATAGAAGTGACGCACCCCTGGCCATATGGCCAATCTGCAGAGAGAGAAAATGTGGTAAACACAGAAGAGTGGGGACTGAGTATTGGAGTCCAGTTCCTAAATTCTGGGCTTGATGACTCTCACTTAATTCCTTCTCTGTGTCTCAGACATGCCCGGAATTTGATTTGTAATGCCTTTAGCTTAAGCTAGCACAAAACCATATATTACTTGCAAGAGTTTTTCTCAACTGATATAGATGGCTTTTCTAGTTATATATGACCATATTCATTACAATCTACCAATAAATTGATATTAGAACTAGAATTTTTAAAACTCTGTTGGCTCTATACAGATTTAGTAAATATAATTATACACTTATAGTAAATATAATTAGTGTATATATATATATATATATGTATCTGTATACACACACACACACACACACACACACACACACACACCAGTCATATGCATTTGCAAAAGTTAATGTCTTTTTAAAATATGTATCTTTATGATTTCAGAGAGGAAAGGTGAGGGGAAGAGAGAGAGAAACATTGATGATAAGAGAGAATCATTGATTGGTTGCTTCCTGCACACCTCATACTGGGAATTAAGCCTGCATCCCGGGCATGTGCCCTGACTGGGAATCTCGAACCATGACCTCCAGGTTCATAGGTTGATGCTCAACCAATGAGCAACACCAGCTGGGCAAAAGTTGATGTCTTTAATTGAATATACTCAATATATCATTTGCAATTATAATAGAGATTAATATAATTTATATGTACACCTAACCATATTTGAAATCTAGTCAAATTCATATTTACCTCGATAGAATATAATAATCTAATATAGTTTTATTAGCCAAATAGTATGAATTTGGGGGTAGGTTAAGTTTGTAACAACATTTTTTTCTTAACCCATTGATTGTTAGAGAGTGTGGAAGGGAGGGAGAGAGACCGAGAGAAGGAAACATCCATATAAGAGAAACACATCGATTGGTTGCCTCCTGCCCGCACCCCGACTAGGGCCAGGGATCAAGCCTGCAACCAAGGTATGTTCTCTTGACCGGAATCGAACCCAGGACTCTTCAGTTCTTGGACCAATGCTCTATCCAGTGAGCTAAACTGGCTAGTGCTGTAACAACATTTTTAATGATTATAATAGAATTCTTAAAATTCAGTTAATAATTCTATTCATTTCATTGGATAGCTATTCCAAACTCAATTTTACTCATTTCTAGTTCCATGATATCAAAAGGTATTTACTAGAAAGGACTCATATTTTTCAGATAAAAAAAAACAAAACACGTGATATGATGCACAGACATTCACATCACAATTGTGTGTTCTGTCAGGATATTGTCAATGACTTGTGATGAAAGCCAAGTCACACCTGTTTCAGCTTCTTTGTCCATATAACGAGGACTAATGCTGTTTGGCTAGTTGTCCAATTTTCAGGACTTAGATCAACTGATAAAACCTTTTATGTACTTACGAATCTAAAGTTTTCTAAAAACATCAATATAATAGAGCCTGAGACACTTTTTTACACTTTTGTATTATCTAGGGAGGCCGGAGGCAAACTGGGAGAGTTGGAAATGCTATCAAATCAATGTTCATACTGAGCCTGAACTGTAGATAAATGAAAACTATTTTTAGCAACAAAAACATGGCACCTTTGATGAATACTTTCTTTAGAAATAGATGTTCTTCAGGCTCACATTGAATTTCACATAAAATAGCACAGTTTAGAAAAGCCTGCAAAACAAGGCAGCTGGGTAATGTGTAAATTGACAATTTCCTTTTAGAATCAGTATGCACTTTGGCTCCCCTTAGGCCCTGTAATGAAAAACGCGCTGAATCTCTACATAAAATCTAAATGGGAAAACGAGAGAACAAGAAAGTCAGCCACACATGACTGGGCATGTTAAAGAATTTGTAATAGAACAGTCCAACTACGGGCTGTGTAACAATAGGTTATGGTTAAATTATTTTTTCAGATATTTCCCACATCAATGACAATATGTAAAAAATATGTATTATATGTGCATTATAAAGCAAAACTATTTTAGTCTTATTGCTTTATTGAATAGTCACATTTGATGTAATAGCGAACTCTTGTCTCAGTTGTCTCTCCTTTAACCTATTTCATCTTTATTTTCTCCCACTGCCCCACATTTTCCTGTAGAGTTTACTCATTTACTACCTCACATACTCTTACTTACCCTCTCTTATGTACTATCTATTGCTTATATATTTTCCTATGCTCCTAGCTATGTCCACTTTTCCTTTTCTTTCATCTTTATGGTCAGTTAGGCTATTATTCTTGACGCATATTTTCCTTCTCTTTATTTCCTTTTATGGCCATTCTTTTGTTGTCTGTTACCTTTTTATAGTATGTTTATAAGTGCAGTTATAAACGTAACTTTTCTTCTGCTTGCATCAACAGGGCTAAATGCACGTGAACCAAAGAAGCCTAATGATATAGTTTTATACTAAATGGAAATATTTATTTAAAGCACTCACTTGAAATCCAAATGTACTGTTCTGAGATCCATGCCGGGGCACCCCTGGGTTTTCACATGACGTACGAGTTGGTTCTAAAATGAAGATCAAAAACATAATATTTCTTCAAAATTTACTACTACATTTTTTTCAATTTTGTTGATCATTTTATTTCTCATCTATAAACAGCATTTGCACAGAGTATTTCTCTCATACAAAACAATTTTAAGTGATATCTGCTATAATGAAATGGCCTTGGGTATTAATAAAGGGTGTAAATCTAATAGCATGTCACCATGGATAGAGCCTACTAATCCTAAAGCCAGAAATTCAGTTAAACTGCATTTTATATAAATGATGCAATTATTGAACTCTGAAGCCTGTTTTTGCAACTCTGTGGATAAAAATTTAAAGAAAAATGAAGGATATGAAAGAGGAACACACGCATAAAATATTTGCCCAAGGACTTTGATAAATTATAATCTCAGGTAGAATAATATCCCCCTCAAGAAGTAAGAGCTTTGCCCACACACAGGACTTAGTTACTTGGAGTTTTCACTGATAGCTGAAGGAGATTCAGACACAGGAATGGTAGGGCTGGTCGTCCATGAGGTGGCTAGTTTGCATGACAGATCACCTGGTTAGTTTAGCAAGTGTGCCATGTAGTTTTAGGGTTGCAGTAATGTACTTTGACAACCTGCCAGTTATAAAAATTGTCACAGGCATGTCAAGTAAGCAAAGGAAGTAGAGTCAATAATAATGGAAGAACTACGGATGCTGCCAAACGGATACCAGGCTTCTCGGGGCTGATCACTTCCTGAGGTACAGCAATGTCTAATCACTATGTTGTACACCTGAAACTAATATAACATTGTATGTCAAAAGTAATTTAAAATAAATTTAAAGAGAAAAAAATGAAGTGCCCTGGCTGGTATGGCTCAGTTGGTTGGGCTCAGTTGGTTGGTTGCCCGTTCAATTCCCAATCTGGGCACATGCCCAGGTTGTGGCTCAATCCATGCAGGAGGCAGCCAATTGATGTTTCTCTCTCTCTCTCTCTTTCTAAAAATCTATTTAAAAGTCTTAAAATAAGAAAATAAACTAAGAGCCATTTTAAATCAATATATCTTTTGTGTATTTTTGGAGCAAGTTTAATTTCATTTGCATATGTTTTATTAATGCTAAAGATCTATACTAATGTTAGTATTTAATAATGCTATTAATATAAAAGCTTTTTACTTTTTCACTTTATTGATAAAAAAATTTCAAATGTTTCTTCTGGAAGATTTGCGTGCTAAAAATAATATCCTATGTTTTACTAATATTAATTTTCAGTGTTTCTAATTGCTTCTATATTTCACATTTGTTTTCCACATTCAGTCAACCATAGTTTATAGGAAAACCGTTAAATGTCACCACTACCTCTTATAAGCAGAATTACTGAGCGTAACCAACCTTCCATTGATATTACCTATGCAGTGAGGTGAGGAACCACTCCAAGTGCCATCCGCTTGGCAAATCCTGGTGCTCGCTCCCACTAATATGAAAGGAGAATTGCAGCTGAAAGCAACCTCCGACTGGTAGATAAAGCTTTTGCCTTCTCGCTTTCCTTGGGCAGGTGTACCAGGGTCACCACAGAACTTCGCTGGAAGTGAAAAAAAGACAATGATGATAAAGATTTAGGATTCATCGGAGTAAACAATTTAGAAAGATGGTGAGAACTAACTGGAATATTAGACTAAAGTGACATGGAGTCCATGTTAGTCTATTCCACTCATTTAGCCTTTGTCTACATGAACACTGCATGTTTGACTCAGTGTAATATTTTAAAAATTAGTCTGACTCAGATATTTTCCACCTAGTAGTACTAGTAATTTCAGTTTCTAAAATAATATTGGCCGGAATCAAGCCACACAGCATTTGTGTATAAGGGCTGCAAAGGTGAAATGTAATCCTGACGGCTCTGCCAGAGAAAACCAACCCATCATGTCCAGTTTGTCCCTCCAGACTGCAGGGTAAAGTACATGCTTATTGGTTTTGCTGTCCTCTGTTGAACAGTCAGAGCACATACCATGGTATTTTGTTTCTTCCTCGTCAAAATTCTATGGGGAATGTTTTAAAACAGTTTTTTAATTAATCCTAACCCGAGTATATATATATTTTTTCAATTGCTTTACAGAGAGTGGAAGGGCCGGAAGGAGGGGAAGGAGGAGAGAGAGAGAGAAACAGGGATGTGAGAGAGACACATCGGTTGGTTGTCTCCTGGAAGCACCCTGACCGGGGTGGGGAGCAAACCACAACCCAGGTACGTGCCCTTGACCTGGGATCAAAACTGAGACCCTCCGTGCACGGGGCTGAAGCACTGTGAGGATTGTGAGTGTTGTGTTTTTAAGAGAAAGGCAAACCATCAGAGTCTAAAACTAGACAAAACTAGGAATCTCAATGGTCTACAACAACCTCTGAAGGGATTAACTTGACAGGATTTCTAAATAAATTGATTAGATGATTCCATTCAATGTCTATAATCTATCTATCTATCTATCTATCTATCTATCTATCTATCTATCTATCTATCTATCCCGTTTAACTATTAAAAGAAAGATAGTATTTTAGGTAGTTTTAGATACTTGGACTTATCAGTAAACAAACTAAGATTCCTGCCCTTGTAGGTTGTATGTATTTGTGAGAAAAGCAAAACTAAACAAGTACAGTTAGAATGTGTGAAGGTGGTAAGTCTTCAGAGGAAAGGCAGTGTAGGTGAGGATCAGAACGGGGGAATGTGTGGATGAGCTAATGGCGAGGGTGAGAGCGGATTTGTAATAAGGTGGCAAGGCTGTCGCTAACTGAGAGAAGATTTGGAGGAAACAAAGCATTTGGCCATGCTGATATCCCAAGGGAGAGCATCCCGACAGAGGAGAGGGCATTGCCAGCCCCATCGGGCACGCTGGGAGAAGAAGGTCAGTGTGGCTAGAGCACAGTGTGCTTGCAGAATGTAACAGCGGGTGAAACCAGATGCTTTCAAAGCTAGTGGATAACCAAGGTAAAGGTACATATATACTATGCTTCCAATTTATTTTAATGGAAATACATAATTTACCATTTTAACTATCTTTACATGTGCTCATTTTTTTAAAATTTGTAGATTTATCACCTAAAAACTTACTTCCCTACAAAACAAACAGCAACAACCAAATGTTATAAATTCTGCCTTCAGATGGCTATAAGTTTGAGTGACCATAAAGTGCATTATCCCAGCCAAGGCACTTTGTGAGTGAAAGGGGGATTCTAACCAGATCAGATGACTACCAGGACAACAGGAGTGAACTAGGAAAGCTCCAGGTGAACTGGAATGGATGCATACCCTAATTATGGAATACTTCAGCCTTAAGCTCAATGGTCAAAGAAAGATCTTCCCTGAAATTTAAGGCACTGCAAGAAAGTTAAATTTTCAGACCTCATTTTAGAAACCTTTCCCCCTATTTAAACAGTTAAGATTAAAAGTGGTCATAAACAAAGAATAAAACCAAATAAATTAAAGGAAAATTTGAGAGTAAAGTAAAACAGGAAAAATAAACATTTTTTGTTGTGTTTTGTTTCAATTTTCAGCATTTCTAATATACTGTTAACATTACTGCTATTTGACATACAAGCATTTCTAGCAATATAACATTAAGCCCTAGGCTCCTAGGCCAGGGTCCCAGTCTTACTAATTATATCTCTAGCACATTTTGAATTTAATGGCTATTTTCTCAGTGAGCATTATCAGTGGACATTTTAGCTTCACCAACTGTTTCTATTACTAAGTTATTTCATAACTTATTTCTGAATAATTTATCTTCTATATTTCTGCTGGGTCACTCATCTTTAAATCTTAACCAAAAAAGAAAGACGGGACATATACCCACTTAAACTCCTCAATTCTCTCCCCACCCCCATCATTCCATCTGTTTCTATCAGCAGATTTTCATATACTAAACCGCATCTACATGCATGCTTAAGCACTGACTTGTTCAGCTTTATAAGCAACAAAATTCTCATGTTTATATTCTTGTACATGTCTGCTTATGTACAGGTGCACATGTACAAAACATTTTGTAGGGCATATACCTAAGATTTCTGGGCCACCGACTCTGCACATCTTTAACTTTACTATACCATATAATAGCAATTAATTATTCAAATGCTATGTCAATTTAAACATCCACCAGGACTGTATAGAGTTTACATCGCACACTTTCGTCGCCCACACTTGATGTCCAATTTTGTTTTTCAGTAAACCAATTTTGTTTTAGTAAATAGTTGTTCATGTCTTTGGCCCATCTTTATTGTTTTGTCTCTTTTTGTTTCAGGGAATCTTTATATGTTCTATACATTATTATTTTTCATGCATATTACATTATTCAAGTTTCTCATTGGTCCTTTCATAATGAGAAATGAAAACTTTTTAATGTACCTGATTTTTTTCATCTTTCATCTATGAGTGGAGCTTTTGCAACTTGTTTAAGACATCCTTTCTTACTCCAAGGTCATATAGATAGTCTCTTAATGTTAAAAACATTAATATTTAAGTTCAAGTTCTTCATGAATCTGGCATTGACTTACTATTTGGTCTGAGAGGGAGATCATGTGTGTGTGTGTGTGTGTGTGTGTGTGTGAAAATGAATTGCCTTGTTTGATTAACTGCAATGTCTGTTCTTTCCCCCACTGCTTTGCTCTATAATGTACCAAGTATCAATTAATGATTCTGTGCTCTTTATTATGCTGCTTTACTTTCTATCCCTGCACCAATGCCACACTGTTTTAACTTCTATAGCATCCTCAGTTTTGATACCTGCAGAGGACTGCACTGCATACGAGATACAGCAGTGCACAGAAACATAATTTCTAAGGAGCATAAACCTGAATGGAGGGCATCATTCACATAAACAAGGTTAGTAAAATGTATAGTTGTTATAAGGAGAAAAAAGAAGAAAAGATAGGAGACTAGTAAGGAGAAAAATAAAGTCTAAAAGGGCAGTGTTATACACCAGCATTTAAAATTTTAATTATGGTGACGAGAGAATACTGAGAAGAGGGACTCTGAGTAAAGAGCTAAAAATAAAAGGAAATTTCTAGACAAAGTAAACAGTGAACACAAAAATCTCTGATGTCAAAGCAAGGCTGAGTGCGCAATTAAAAGTAAGGAAGCCTGTGGTATTTGTCTTTCACATGATCTCACTTACATGTGGAATCTAATGAACAAAATAAACTGATGAAAAAATAGGTCCAGAGGCACAGATGTATGGAACAGAATAGCCGATCTCAGTGGATATGGGAGAGGAAGAGATGAACCGGAATCATATATGTATATATACATAACTCATGGACAGAGACAATAGTGTGGGGGAGGCCTGGAGTGGGAGCTGGGTGGAGAGGAGCAGGAAGAGGGGGGATGGGGAACATCTGTAATACTGACAACAATACAAAGTAAAGGCACGGAAGCCTATGTGCCTGGAGAAGAGTGGATGAGGGGACAACAGGATATGATGGGATCAGGGAAAAACAAAACGTTTGCATGAGCCTATAGGCAATCTGGCTTCTGCTCCGAATGAGATGAGAAGACTGGAGGGTTCTGGGCAGTTTAGTGGGTTAGCTCTGGCTCACTCCAAGGCCAGGGGACAGGGTGAGCACTCCTCTTTCTGCCACATGCTGGGAAGGAAAAGACTAGGAACAGGATAGCACTGAATGTCTCTGAGTGAGTACTGCCTATATCATGTGTTACAATAACTTATGTAACATGGAAATCTGGCTTTTTTTGTTTTGTAATCTTCCAAATTAGTCTTGAAGGGATATATAATGTATAGCAACCTCTGCAAAAAAAAAAAATATCTTACCTCTACTTTTACCTTAGTAATTTTTGATGTATAATTACAATCATTATCATGGCAAATACGATAATAAGAACTCGATTTGAATAAACATGTAGAAGTGACATGAATTTATTGCAGAAAGAAATTTGGGGTTAAATTAGAACATTCAGCTGAGATACACTGGACTTATTAAAAAGAATAATTTTCTGGCAGATTCAGCTCAGAAGGTTTCTATTTTGAGGAATAATTTTGAAAATTAAGTAAAGTTTACAAACAAATGAATTTAGCCTGAACTTTAGAGTTCAAGCAGAAGGCACACAATGGTTGGATGAAAAGTGGCTACATTAGTAAATACTGATATTTCACTAAACTTTACACATTGGAAGGAGTTTAACAATCTCATATTTATTCTGGCAAAACTTGGAAATTTTAAACAACAGTTGTAAACTCAGGAAAGTAGTTCTAAGAGAGTGGAAGCAGGAAAATATCATTGTAAGTATGGAAATTATACTTACGTAAGCACTGTGGCACTTCCCCACCCCAGGTACCGTTCCTTACACAGGTCAGCACAGCAGGAAAGGAGAGCTCATAGCCTGGAGAACAGATGTAGCTAATACTAAAGCCCCAGTCGAAATTTGTTCCTTCCAACCTTCCATTAGAGATCTGGGGAGGAGTTGCACAGGTAACAGCTGCAATTACATTGAAAGCGATTAGACACAGCTGCTGAGCTATCCTGGGTATGGAAAATAAATGAATAAATATCATTAGGAGAAGCATATGTGCTAACTTAACCTTTTGAAGGACAATATGGTGTGACACGTTTTATTCTTCTGGTTGTATCCCTGAAACATACCCAGAATTAATCCCTCTAGAATGCGACTATTTCTTGACAACATAATGGCTACGGGTTGAGATTCTCTTACAAAATGACAAGCTGCCGGATATCTGAGGGAAAAAAGGCTGATCTTCTAACCAGTATTGTAACTGATACATTCCAATGACCTTTAGGTAGACTGGGTTATTTGGCTATATACAGTGCATCAGCACGTTGGCAAGGAATTTGGTAGTAATTCTGTGACATTTCTGAAAACGCAAATCATGTAGCTCATTAAAATATCCAAACTGGTCCTATTCAACACTTAGATTCATATGTTAACATTTACTATAGAATTTTAAGTGTTTTATCAAAGTTTTAAACATTCATTTTTTAAAACTGTGTTAAGATGTCCTCAAGCAGAGATAGGTTGGATGAGGTGACAGAGATGAGAGGAAAGAGAAGGGTACCAACTACAAAATCTCAAAATGAGGAATGGTTATATTCTGATGGCTAACAACATATCTGAACAATTTTTGGAATTGTATATCATTGCCATTACTAGGATCAATTAATTATGTATGAAATAACTTCTAAAATATAAAATAACTGTTACATATTTTTATGGACTATGTACAGTGATCTGAGTCAGAAACTGTGAAATCAAGAAGAAAAGTACACATCAAAGTCATCCTTTTTGTTCGATTTTTTTTAGATGTCAGGGCGATACTAAACTGTCAATTTATAGATGTTAATAGACACCTGAATGAGAAATCTCAATTATTAAAGAATAATACTGTTATTATACAATATAAATTACCTTACATTGCATATACACTATTCCACAAGTAATCAGAAAAACTAGCAGAAAAATATGAAAATGTTTTCAAAAAAAGGTATAAGGTAGCAAATCTATGCTTATATTGACTAAAATATTAATTCTAGATTACATTCGTTAAACAAACAGTTTCTCTGTCTCTTTAAGGAAAAATTACAGTTTTGTAATTCCAACTGACTATTCTCAAACTACTGAAAGGTTTTCTCTCTATCCATGAATTACTTGACCAAAATGGACTATCAGATTAAAATTCTGACAGTGATTTTAAATTGGCATGAGCAAGAATTTTACAACATGTAATACCTGACTATTTCGTCAGGGCACTGACCACTTTTCCCTTAGATTGTCAAATTTAAAAAATGCCAACAACCAACACAACAATAGCCATCCAGTGTGAATGGCCTGTCTTGAACCATAAATACATAGGTCATAGAATAGACTGCATTTTATTAGTCATGTCCCATAATAAGGTTGCATCTGATTGGTTAATTCTTGGAACTAGAAATGCTTATATATAAGTATAGGCACCTGATTTTTTAAAAAGTCACTTTGGAGTAGGTAATTACTTTTATTATTTTTTTTGTAAGTCAATCAAAATTATATCTATTAGATACAGATTGACAAAAAAATACAATCTATTTTTTGGAATGCCACAGAATTTTCATAATCAGTTTATGTGTGCCATGAAATAAATGGTTGGAAATTGCTGTTCTAAATCATTAAGGTTATATCAGCTTTTAAATATTCATAAGTTAACATAAATAGCAGCGTACATGATATTTTTGTTGTTTGGGTTGCATTAAAGTTCAGTCACTACTCACAATAAAATAAAAGATTTTTTGAAATAGCTTTACGTTCTATATATTATTATCATCTGTATGGTTTAAAAATAAAAACTGAATCATTCTTTGTTAGTTTCAAAAAAGTGAAACAATACATGAAACACTATTTAAATCTACTTTAAATATGCATACTAAAAAAGGAACTATGTGGTAGTGATAACATAAATAATTAAGAAATTATTATACCTCTACAGGTTGGCATTACTCCACTCCATGTGCCATTAGTTGTACAAGTTCTGATTCTGGAACCATTCAATTCCATGGTATAGCCTGGCTGGCACATGTACGAAACATTGTGCCCAACCACATAATCATCTCCATATCTCAGTCCATTGGCTGGGACGCCTGGGTCTCCACAACTGATTACTATCAACATTGGATTCAAAAAGCAGATGGTTAATGTGGCATATATTTAATAGAGAAGAATAGCAAGCATATGGCATTCTTAATATATCAGTAGGGAAAATAGTTATCATGTTCATTTTTAATCATAAAACATAAGCATACTTAAATCACATACTAGCAATTCTTTCTTTTTAAATATATTTTATTGATATTTTACAGAGAGGAAGGGAGATAGAGAGTCAGAAACATCAATGAGAGAGAAACATCGATCAGCTGCCTCCTGCACACCCCCTATTGGGGATGTGCCCGCAACCCAGATACATGCCCTTGACCGGAATCGAACCTGGAACCCTTCAGTCGGCAGGCCGACGCTCTATCCACTGAGCCAAACCGGTTTCGGCTACTAGCAATTCTTGATTATGACCCGGTATGCTTATTACAGATTCTATACACATGGTTCAGAAATTGCCATTTAGACTTTGAAAAGGTTAAGTTTATATGCTATTATGTTGTAGGAAACTGTGACATGGTAACCTCATTTAACATATATTAAGTGATCATGAAGAAGCCATCCTATAGAATCAAGATTTCTAATGTAATATTTAAAATCCATATTCCTATATATGGCTATTGAAGTTTCTGATTTAGTAGACCTGCTGGATTGAGAGAGTATTTTCTCCACAGTGTTCCTCAATTTTCTATTATAATAGTTTTTAACTAAAACAATGATAGGTGTAAAAATAATACTTTTATTGAATAAATAAGAGAATGAATAAACTATAAAGTGTGAATTTATCATGTACAGGGTGGGATACATACTTTGGGAGGCTCGGTATAAAGTAAAAATGCTACAGCTAGGGATAGAGAGTTAAATTTCCCATTTCCACCAACTCAATGGCAACCCAGGTAAAAGAACAACCCAGAAAAAACGGGAACCTCTATTCTGGAATCCACTTGCTTCCTGGATTGGGTGTGAATGATGGGATTCCATCAAGGCTTCTGTCAAGCGCTTGCTAAATATGACTCAGCAAGGCCAGCCCAGGGCAGAGATAGATGCTACCTACTCTGCACCGAGACTTCATGAATACACCAAACTCTGACTTGCCCCATGCTACTTCCAGGTCTCTCAAGCAGGGTGGAGAACAAAGCTGCAGGGTGAGCCTCCCTCTGCTGATGACAGGATGGAACCTCTGAGCAGAGCAGTGGTGGGAATGGAGAGGCCAGGCAGGGACAGGGGTACCAGGTGGTGGGGGGCAAATGGCCCATAAACCCAGCCTAGGAAGACAGGAGGCAGGGGGCTGACAGAGTACATGAGCAGAGGCTCCGAACCCTCTTCACATGCTCCAGTGTCCCAGGGGACTTCAGTTACAAATCACACTTTCAAAGAGAATATTATTGATAAATCTGAGACAGCCCAAGCCCAGGGCCTCAGGCATGAGTTTCTATCAATTGCACTCACCCATAAAGCTGGCTCTGATTACGTATATTATCACCCAAAAACTTTCCAGAAGACTTATAACAGCATAGAAAATAAAAGATCAACCCTACTATGACATTTAAGAATAAGGCATCACAGAAAGTATATATAGGCCACCAAAGCACCTGCTGTTTTGAGTACATAATTTAAGCATGATTTGAGCAATGAACTGGCCTAAAAGCTTTCTTGCGGCTAAGAGAAAAGAAGGAAAAGAAAAAACATACCAGCTTACACTTTTTCTTTTCTGTAGATAAAATAAACGTGGCATACTTGCCTTTTACTATCACTTTTGCCTTTTGAATCTTTTTGTTTATAAAAGAGTATAAAATTACACCAGGTGAATCTGAGTTATATTCCCTCATTTTTATTTTTAAGTAATTCTTCCCAGAAATGTGAAAGTCTAGAGGGTTAAAAACTAAAAATAGATTAAATCATGGGAGACCTTTATAGTACTTTAATTACATTGTATTTATTAACTTAACCATTAAAAATGACGAATCTCAACATTTCTTTCATATTACTCTAATCTGTTGAGTTTGGGAAGTTTTTAGGACCAAGAATAATGGCCATTAAATTAAAGAACAATACTGACAGCACTCCCCCTGTAGCCCTCAGAGCCCTGGACCCAGTTTGTTGAACTAACACTCTTGAGTGTTCCTATTAGACTCCTAATAAGAATTTTGCATATAGAATGATTTTTGTTCTTTTGATTATTGATCATGAAAAGATTTTTAAATTATATAACTGAGTTGATATCAAATCCAGCTTATTTACCAAAAAACAGGTCATTTTATTTGCAGTTTCAAAATTCCTGAAAGTGAGTATACTCTTCAATTTATTTCGTGTTATTTTACTTTATGTTATTTTATATTTTTAATCTAGATTCCAATTAAGAGGAGGAAAATTAAAGAGAACACCCACAAATTGCTATTTTGTGGACTGCGCTTTACAGACTGAATTCGAATCCTGGCAAGAAAGGCCAGCTAACCGGGCGGGAAGGCACAGGAGCTGAGAGACAGCCACCAACCGAGAGGACAGAGGGTTTATTCTGCAGAGGCACAGGCACTGGGAGAGAGTTCTGCGTAGCGAGGCAGCATCATGAGTGGAACTTGGGACAACAGCTTCAGAAGAATTTGTTTGGTGACTTTCTAAGGAAGCAAAGGCCAGGCAAAGAGGCAGTTTCCAATAGCAACGATCTTTGTAAACAGCACCTGCTCCACAAGTCAATTCAATCATTACACCAGCTTGTTTTCAACAACAAAAATAGGCTTTTGGTCTTTTCGAGCAAAACCTTAGAATAGTAGCTCTTTAGAGCTTTACCTTAAAATTCAGAGACACCAGTGCGTGACAACAGAGTGCTATGGTTTATTGCAAGAAAATCTTTTCTAAAGTCACCAAAATCCTTAAGGACACAGCACTTAGGTACACACATAAGCATACACACACACAAATAAACTCCACCAAGACAGATGTTTTGTCTTGTTCTACACTGATGTATTCTCACAGCCTCATCTAGTACATCATAAGAGGTAAAGTAAATACTGTTTAAAGAATAAATCAGCGAATAGAATGCACAAGGAATAATTAAATAGTTCAAATTCTCAAAAACAAATATATTATTTAAACATTTAAATTTGTTTTTGTCCTGGCTTATGTGGGTCTGGTTAGAGGGTTGGCCCTTACACCTAAGGGTCATGGGTTGGATTCCCAGTCAAGGGCATGTACCTGGGTTGCAGGTTCATTTCCTGGCCCTGATCAGGTCCTGTGCAGGAGGCAATAAATTAATGTGTCTCTCTCACATTTCTGTCTCTCTGTTTCTCTCTCTCCCCTTCCCTTCCTCTCTTCCAGTCTCTCTCTCTCTAAAGAAAAAAATCAATAGAAAAAGTATATATGCATTTTTCAGTAAATAAGATCATACTACCCACACATTTATAACGGAATTCATTTTTTACTCAATATCTAATTGATATTTTTGTATGTAAATACACAGATCCATGTAACATTTTACTGACATACTACTCTCTTACATGTATGTACATGCAATATAATTCATGAAACCAAACCCCCGTGGATTAATGTTTGAGTTATCCCATTGTTTTCCTAATAGAGACAATGTAGCAGTATACATGCTAGCTCAGGCATCCTATGCATTTGCTTTGCCAGGTTTCAAGCCCAGAATAAAATTCTACTACAGCAGAATGAAGCTCCAGAAAGGTGATCCAATCTCTCAATTCACAAGTTGGTTTTCTTTTTAGATCTCAGTGAGGGAGATTTTATTTACCTTAATTTTGGCACTATTGACATTTGGGACCAATTCATTCTTGATCGGGTGAGGTTGCTTTATCACTAAAGCTCCTTAGCTTTGACCTCTGCCTGCTAGATACTGATAGCACCTCCTCTCACCTGCACTGTGACGGCCAAGAGTGTCCCCTGGCATTATCAGATGCCCCCTGGAAGCAAATCGCCCCTGTTTAAGAACCACTGACTTAGCAACAGCCCTCTTCCCTTGAGGAGATTTAGATGATTTTTTTAGCTCACTTCACCCAGTTTCATGCTGGGATATCCCCCAGCTTTCTCTTGTGTGAAAATATCCCCATTTCCCTGGCCTATCTTCTAAAGAAAACCAAACAACTAACAAACAGAAAACTGAGAATTCTCGGGTTGGTAACAAAGATTCAGCGAGGGCCACTTCTGTGCTGACCGTTTGTAACAAAAGCCTTAGGCTCATTTATCACTGGATCTGATAGAGTATACTGTACCTGACCCACATGACAAGACCTGCCAGATGCAGGGTAGTGAGCACTTTAGAAGTTCTGGCAGATTTAAAAATCCCAAGGAATAAGGGCACATATTTCGTTTCAGACCTGAAAGTCAACTGTTACTCCATTTGACAAGCCCTGTCCTCGGGCAGTTTGTACCATTTTCCCAAAACACTGTGGGCACTGTGTGCTTTGGTTCCGGAGGGGGTCTGCCTGTTGGACAGCACCAGGTAAGGGTCCTGTACGGTTTATACACGGAGGGGTTTTTGTGCTGACAAAACAAAACAAAACCCAGAAAACAAAAAACAGTAACAACAAAACTGTATCTCTGAATGAGTATTTACCTGTGCTTAGTTTTTATGTATTTTCTTTCAGTATGAACATCACAGAAAATAACAAGCAAATTTTACAATTAGTGTACTGCCTGAGCCTCCTAGTACTACAGCAAATCTCTTTCCTTTCCAGTTTTAGTTCTGTGAATGTTTCTTATTCCTAGTATTATGGCAAATCTCCTTTCCAGTTTTAGTTCTGTGAATGTTTCTTAATATTTATAGTTCCTCTGTCAAAGTGTGCATGGTATTTGAATCCATGACCTTGATCTCATGATATATACTAAAAAAAAAAATGTTTTCATTGATATGAGAGGAACAGACCAGGTTACCAATGCCATATGAAGCTCATAGGTTTGCATATATGTAACTGCTAGGAGAATTATACGGTACAGAGAGGTCACTTTTAGCTAAAAGCGATATGAGGAAGAAGTGTCCTGAAAGGCTTTTGTCAAATGGGTGCCATTTCAGCTGATACTTAAAAGGTACCAGTAAGAATTTTAGGGCTCAGATGGGCTGGTGTAGAAGGAAACCAGCAGAGGCTATTTGTTAATTGTTTAGTTGTTCAGTCTTGCAAAATTGAGACATTTTCAAAGCAAGTAGGAGGACTTCTTTCCTTCAAGATGGAGAAATAGAGAAGACTTTACTCTCCATTTGAAACAACCAAAATAAATAAATAGATAGATAGATAGATAGATAGGACACAATATTAAAACAATAAATAACAAAAAAATAGCCACCAAAAAACAGGTTTCAAAGGCAGCAAAGCACAGTGATCCTTGAGTGACAGGAAACCAATGAGATGAGTCCTACAACTGCCACACCGTACTGCTGTCAGAGAGTTTCCAGGCTGCAGACAGGGAGCCTCCCTGCAGAGCCCACCAGCTTCCTGGAGGGAGACATGACTCTAGAGCCAGGAGAGAATAAAGAGACAGTGCCAGAGAGGACGCACACTGGAAGAGGACTCTAGAGATCCAGGGAGGGAACTCCTGAGTGTTCAGGGGTCCCCTCAGCCCGGCCTGCACCCTCTCGCAGTCCGGGAGCCCTCAGGGGATGTCCGACTGACAGCTTTGGCCCACTCCCTGTGGGCCTCCTTAGCACTGCCTTGGAGGTGGGAGAGGCTCCTGCCACTGCCACTGCGCTCGCCAGCCATGAGCCCAGCTTCTGCCTGAGCGGTGCTCCCACTCTGGGAGTGCACTGACCATCAGGGGGCAACTCCTGTGTTGAGTGTCTGCCCCTGGTGGTCAGTGAGCATTAGAGCAATCGGTCATTCTGCCATCAGGCCAAAACTGGCTTTTTGACATCCCCCAAGAGGTGTCGGATTGTGAGAGGGCACAGGCCAGGCCAAGGGACCCCACTATGCATGATTGGGGCTGGGGAGGGACTTGGGAGGTTGGCCAGCCATGGAGGGGTCGCAGGAAGACTCCAGGGCATGTCCGGCCCGTCTCTCTCAGTCCGGCCCACTCCCTGTGGGCCTCCTTAGCACTGCCTTGGAGGTGGGAGAAGCCCTGCCACTGCCACTGCGCTCGCCAGCCATGAGTCTGTTGGCTGGACACCAACAGCAAGCTAACCTAGTGGTCAGAGTGCCTGCGCCCTGGTGGTCAGTGCATGTCATAGGGACTGGTTCCAGGGGGCAACTCCGGCGTTGAGTGTCTGCCCCTTGTGGGTCAGTGTGCGCTAGAGCAATCAGTCGTTCTGCCATCAGCCTCAAACTGGCTTTTTGACATCCTCCAAGAGGTGTCGGATTGTGAGAGGGCACAGGCCAGGCCAAGGGACCCCACTGTGCATGATTGGGGCTGGGGAGGGACTCAGGAGGTTGGCCTGCCATGGAGGGGCAGCGGGAAGACTCCAGGGTATGTCTGACCCTTCTTTCTCAATCCCTATTGGCTGTATCCCAACAGCAAGCTAACCTACTGGTCGGAGCGTCTGCCCCCTGGTGGTCAGTACATGTCATAGGGACTGGCTGACCAGTCAACTATCTGCATCCTGGTGGTCAGTGCACATCATAGCGAGCGGTTGAGTGGCCTTAGTATATCATTAACATATTACCCTTTGATTAGTTGGAGGGCCGACCGAATGACTAGACACTTAGCATATTAGGCTTTTATTATATAGGATGTGGCTGCTATGTTCTATTCAATGCTTATTTCAACAGCCTCTTAGCCATAGTTTGCCTTCATCTTTGAGGAGACACAATGCACATGGAGTATCTCAACAGCCCTGTCATCACACACAATTTGGTGCAGGCAAGATATTATCTACAACGAATATTCTCCAGAATTACAGACATGACATGCCATTACTCTGATGACATCCTCCTCTGAGTGGATTCATTTGAGCCACTCATTCAGGATAAACAGATACAAATAATTTAGAGAAAAAACAAACAAAAACAACTGATAGTTAAAAGGCACCAGTAAGAACTTTAAGGCTCGGATGGGTTGGTGTGGCATAAAACCAGCAAAGCCTATCGGAGATGAATCAGTAGCCGACAAGCCAGGTTGAACATCTCTTCATATATCTACTGGTTGTTTGTGTGTCTTCTGGAAAGAGGTGTCTGTTCAGGCCCTCTGCCCACTGTTTTGCGATAGAGCACTGGGTACAGATGTGGTCCATACACAATGGAATGCTACTCCGCCACCAGAAAGTATGAAAGACTGCCATTTGCAACAACATGGATGGACCTTGAGCATCTTATGCTAAGTGAAATAAATCTGTTAGAAAAACGCCAAGAACCATATAATTTCACTCATAAGTGGGATATAAAACTGAAACGCGTGGACACAAACCGCAATGTGGTGGTTGCCAAGGGGAAGAGGGTGGGGTGAATGGGGTCCTAATGTATGGCGATAAGAGATTTGACTTTGGATGGTGGGCACACAGTGCAGTATACAGAACTTATAACATAGAAACCCACATCGAAACCTGAATAATCATATTAACCAATGTCACCCTAATAAACTTAATAGATAGATAGATGATAGATAGATACATGATAGATAGATAGATAGATAGATAGATAGATAGATAGATAGATAGACAGACAAATAAATAAGGCTAGTCAGGCCCTAGCCAATGTGGCTCAGTTGGCTGGAGCATTGTCCTGTACAGCAAAAGGTGGCAGTTTGATTCATGGTCAGGGCACTTACCCAGGTTGCAGGTTCAATCCCTAGTCAGGGCAGGTGCAGGAAGCAATCAACCAATGTTTCTCTCTCTCCCTCTCTTTCTCTCCCACTCTCTCTATAATCAAGTTAAAAAAATAAAAACATAAAAATAAATACATAATAAAATAAAAAACCAAGCAGTTATTGATATGTGTTAGATTGGCAAAATAAAATTGCATTATTTGTATTAATCTTGGTTACTGCTGATAATTCATCTCTATTCTTAAGATGCTGTTAAATTTCACTTAATGTCACTAATTTTCTGTGATCCCTCTTTCCTCTGCCAAGTAATTCTCTTTTTGTTAATCTTCACCGGAGAATAATTTTCCACTGATTTTTAGAGAGAGTGGGAGGGGGAAAGACAGAGAGAGAGAAACATCCCTGTGAGAGAGACACAATGATTGGTTGCCTGCCACACGCACTCCCAACCAGGGTTGGGGATCAATGTACATGCCCTTGACTGGAATCAAACCTGGGATCCTTCAGTCCACGGGCTGACACTCCATCCACTGAGCCAAATCAGCTAGAGCTGCGAAGTGATTTTTAAAGTCACTAGTATAAACTCTAACCATAGAATACTATCATCTTTTAATACTATCATACTATGAAATACAATACAAATATTCAATATTTTGCATGGTTTGATTGACTACAAGTTACACATACAGATGAATATACTCAAATAGTTTCACATAACTAATGATATTTAAAATATTGAGAAGAAACATACTTGTACAGTTAGGCAAAGTTCCAGACCACGTTCCATTGGCTGTGCACTGTCTAACTGAAGGTCCAGACAAGAGGTATCCCTCCATGCAGGAATAAATGATCGAACTGGAAAATGTTGTGCCATCAATCCGAAAGACCTTTCCATTGGCTGTTGTTCCTGGGTTACCACACTGTACAGCTACAAGAAAGAAAAAAAAAATAATAGTTAAGAGTATTTATAAAAATATTTTAATTAAAAATCTTCTCACAAAAAGTCAATGACTGATTTTTTTAATTATCCAAAGGAGCTATAAAATCCTCTAAAATAAACATTGAATTATCGTTTACAATGGTTGAAATTCAAGATAAATTTACATTAATTTTATTAGTTTAATTACTAGAATACAAATCAGATAACAGCTATTTTTTAAAGTTTTTGTTAGTAGCTATCATAAAAACTTCAGAAAGTAATTATTTGAGTGTTGCCTATGGGTACCACAATATCTTTCAAGGAATGATTACAATAGTCTCTGCCTAAAAAATAAATAATGTGAAATGAAAAGATATGAAACAATGAGCTGCAGCAGAAATTTACTATATAAGAGGACAGATATAAAATAAACAATTTAAATATTTTAAGAATCCATGTATATTTTTATTTATATAAGCATATAACTGATCTGAATTAAAATTGTATAATCTCTATTTCCAGACCAAGGCATACAAAAAAATAGACGGAATAAACACAAAATCTAGAAATGGTTTTCATTAAGTTTTCAACGTATCATAAACAGGAGTCACAAACACAATACCCCCTGTATTACTCTCTGCATTATGTTTAACTATTTGCCATCGATACCATGGTAAATTTTTAAAATATCGTAAAAGCGAGCCTATGTCACTGTATTACTAAATTTTGTTGTAACATAAAAGTTTAAAGTTATCTCTATGACTATAAAGTGTAATTATGGTTTCAGATAGTACCATCTATATCACTTGCGGCATCTAAAATATTTAATTTTGCCTATCCTTCCTATACAGTGGTGCTGCATGTTTCTCTGTGTGTGTAGAGACAGGAGACTTACACATTTTATTTTTATTACTATTTTTTTTGAATCCTCACCTGAAGATATTTTTCCACTGATTTTTAGAGAGAGTGGAAGGGAAGGGGAGAGATGGAGAGAGAGAGAGAGAAACATCGATGTGAAAGAGATACATCAATAGGTTGCCTCCTGCAGGCTTACTGGGATGGAGCCTACAACCAAAGTATAACCCCTTGAATGGAATCAAACCCACCACCCTCCAACTGGGGGGCTGATGCTCTATCCACTGAGCAAACTGGTTAGAGTGGAGACTTATACATTGTAAACAATTACAATAAAATCAAACACTAGGTAAAATTTTCAGAAGAACATATAACATTAAAAAAAGTTTGCTTCTGTTCAGAGTAATTATCCTCTTCTATATTAGCACCTGCCTAAAATAACAATCCAGTCATATTTATTTATGTGTCATGATCTATAATCTTGAAACAATCCAAGTAGGATTTGAAAAATATCATCCTTGTTTTCAATGTCGGGTGATTTGCATTTTGAAATAGGGACCTCAGGTTCAGTCCATTTTTTTGCACTTAATAAAAATTGAGAACTTCTCCATATCTGGTTTACAGATATGGACAAATAACACTTCCACCTCTGTCCCCTTGTCTCTAATTCCTCCACGCTTAGTAGACACATTTTTCTTACCAAGAGAATTATTTGAATTAAACACAAGTGAAAATAACTTTAAATGAAGAGAGGTAAGTGCATTGCCTATCATGAGTGAGGGCTGAAAACTCTGTGGACACAGTGAAAAGAAGCAGCAAATTCTTCGCTTCTGTAATGCAGACATTTTGGGGGAAATGGCTTTATTGATACCTGTGAACACAGGCCCGTTTATGTTTAGTATCAGCTGGCAATGCCATCTCTCTTAGAATAACTTCTCAGCTGTCAGTTGACCTAACCTAATATAAGAGACATGTAACTTTCATTGATAACTCACCATGATAGCCAAAACAGAGTGTCAAACATTTTCAACATTCTTAACCTCACAATAAATACTATGAGTTGATATTAATTTCAACACCATGTACTGGTTGGGAATTGAAGCAAAGAGAATAAATTAGTTCTCCAAGGTCTCACAGCTAGTTCATGGCACAGTTTCATCTAGTACAAATTCCTCAGAAGATTCTGATAGCATATAATAAAAGTATTGGATCTTATTCAGGCTAGAAAATGGCTCCAACACAATATATTTTTATCAATCGATTATTTTTTTGTATCCAATGCATGATAGAAAGAGTATTTTATATTTGCCTTATATATTTCTAGAGAAAATTTTTTTTAATTAGGGGACCATTTTTTTCTTTTTATCAAGGTGACTTTTCTGAAAAGACAAAAATAAATGGAAGCATAATGAAGAAATTAACGGTCCTTTATAAATAAAGAAACAAGTTGATAAAATATTTATATAGCTATATATCTAATATGAAAACATATTCATTCTGATGTGTATTTTAGGTACCGTTTAAAGCAAAGAGTATATAATAGTGAAATATTACCATTTTTAAAAACAGAACTATGCTCTGCATGCTGTTTTATAATCTCATTCTCCTTACTTAACATAACAGCTAGGGCATCTTTCTTTTATAAAGTGCAGTAACGGGATAGTTTTCCATTTTATGTATATTCATAATTTACCTATCCAATCCCCTGTTGATAACCACAAAATTTAGTTTTATTTCTTTATCATTTTTGGTTATAATATACTCTAGCTTATTAATATAAGTGTGTACATCGGTTCTATTTTGAGATAAATTTCTGAGAGTGGAAGTTCTGGATAATTTTCATTTTTGAAATATATTTTTATATAGAATTACCAAAGATATTGTCATAATACACAGTTGGATCAATAATGTAGAAGTTTGCCTGTTTTCATACATCCTCATCAATGCTATGTGCAATAATTGTTAAAAAACCTTGTCAGTTTGTAAAAGAATGATATATTCTTTACATTTGCCGGTTTACATTAAAGTAAAATGTTTAACACATTCATTTGATAGTTTTATTTTCACATGTGTTTTATCCATTACATTATAGGAAAGATATTATAGTTTATGATAAATTACTAAAGTTATATAGTATTTCAGAGCATTTGGAAAAATAAGAGTAAAAGTACATCAAATTTCACCACTCTGTTCTATCATATTTTGGGTACCACCTTTTATAAACTTTCTCTCAAATGAATGTCATTTCCCATGATTTTAATAGAGCAAACTTTTGAATCTTATTTTTAACTAAGTTTTATATGATTTACATTTTCTCACATTGATCCACGGCCTTTATTCTAATATCTTATTGAGTATATGCACTTATGTCATATAAATATACACTTGCTTATGTAATATTATTTCTAGTACTGTTGATACTAGAAAATGTGGGTGTTGTTGAGTCGAGTTCTTGTCTCGTGAAAATCAAAGCATGAAGTTGTGGAAAAAAACAATTAACGGGAGCAAAGTTCATTGGGAGAAGCCAGTCCTGGGAAAGGTGTAGCTCAGGTGCCAGGAGCAGACCAGTGTCCAGAACTTCCTTTTCATGTTAGTAGTTTAGTATCCAAGCTAATTAAAGGCTAATAGTCCACGTGTGGAGGCCCACATGGCCATAAGCCACGTGGATGCAGGGATGTGCTCCTCTGACATAGGAACGAATGTCAGGAACCCATTGTTTGTCAGGGAGAAGAGAGAGAGGGATTTAATTTAGGGTGGGTAGTCTTGCTAGCTCCTACTTGGTCTTTTCAAATAATTCTATCTTGGCAATATCCTTTGAGTTGGTTTATATGCCTTAATGCCTTGTGATTGGTTATTTGCAAGCTGCCTGTCTTAGCAACATCCATACATTTTAAAGTTCCTGCCTCTTGTGAGCGCTCTTCCTTCCAGACCCAGGTGGGGTGCCTTAGTAACTCCTCCTAGCTGGGTTCCCAGTTCTACTTCCTTTCCCATGGTCCCACCCCCATCTACCTAGCTTCCTTCTGTCTCCTCATTGTTAAAATTATTTCTTGTTGTTGCTTATTTTAATCAATTAGACATAAAAGTTGAAACTTTACTGTTATGTTTTTCTTTTAATATTTTAATTTTCTGTAGGAAAGAAATTCTCAAATACCAGTTAATAAAACAAAGCCATTTACATTCTATGAATATATACACATTTTTGTCAAATTAAATTTACTATAACAATAACAATAAATCTAGAAACGTTTTGAAGTTCTAGTGTTGTTGCACATACATAAGAATTGCATATTAAAACAGGTAAAATGATGTTTAATTATACTTTTCTGATTAGCAGATATGTGGAATATTTCACAATAGGTTGCATTTTTCGCTCTTTATTTTCTGTTCATTTTCTTCGTCCATTTATCTACGAGATTCTGTTTTTCTAAATTATTTGTATGAGCACCATTTATGAGAAAAATGTTAATTCTGCTATTTTTAATAATTTCTTGTTCTTTTTTATCTATGAAGTGCACTTTACAGATAAAATGTCAGCACCAGGTTGTATTCCATCTAAAAACTATTTTTCAGTTACGCTGAACAAAGGGCTAGCTTCCTAATGCATGACACCACTGTAGAGACATTGCCTTTGCAAAGTCAGTTTGGGTAATAAAGTGAATAGGTACATCTTCCTGTCTTTTGCTCAACAACTTTCTCCAGCAACTCCTTTCCTGTAATAGCAACTGAGTTGTAGTGCTCTCTGAATTAAGATTTCTAAATTTGGTCCATTTTAAAAAAGGATAACTATCCTTCCTAGAATATGGGTCCTAATTTTAAACACAATAAAATGTTTCTGAAATACGATCAATCAAAAACTGTCAAGAAATTCTGTTGGGAATTATTTCCTATTTATAAAACCAATACATTTTGATATGATATTAAGTTTCAAAAATACCTCTACATGTTGAGTTTTTACACTAAAATTATCTTGAAAAGAACATTTAAATTATAAGAATAATTTTCCAGCAACATTTCATTTTCTATCCATTCTTGTAAAGACTTAACTATGTTAAATATGTCAGCCAGAACAATTAAAAATTGTATTCAAGCACCCTACATTTTAAAAATTCTAGTTTCAAACAATGTAACCTATGCAAAAAAATCCCATTTATAGTTAGGCATCTTTATATCTTTCCATTTCTACAAACCTAAAAAGTAAAATACATCTTGAGGTAAGGTTGATGTAAGAACAACCAATTGTTTTCCTTAAAAGTGTCTACAATAGAGCACTGTGATACAGGGGAAAAATAAAAGTTTTTAACAAATATGTTTAACTTTTCAACTCAGATGTTTGCTAAGATGTGAACAATGTTTATATATAAATGACCATCAGAAATATTTTTTAAAAATTATTACCTATCATATATAGGATGTTGCCAGTAAAACTGGAATACTCCTGCTTTTATTCCATGGTCAGGGACACTAAGAATTGGTAAGAGTAATTTCAGTAATACTAACAAATTGAATTTGGGTACACATTAAATTCCAGCAATTTCAATACATTTAATTTCTGCTTGAGTTTACCTTTGCATTCTGGCTGCCTTCCAGTCCAGCTGCCATTGGCCAAACATGTTCTTTCTTCTGAACCATGAAGGATATAACCAGTATCACAAGCAAAATGTACAGAACTTTGGGTTCTGAAATTGCTTTCCTGTCTAGAACCATGACCAGGGGTACCCGGGTCCCCACATGTACCAGTAGCATCACCTGTAATTCAGTACAGTACAAGTTAATTTATTTCAATAAGCATTTACTATGTTCATGTTTTTGTCCAATATTCTTATAGGCATGGATTTTGTGCAAGTTGTTTTTAACGTGGTAAGTTGACTGGGTAGAATTATAATTCGAATTTCCCATCTGAGTCCAGTCATAAGAAAAAGCCTAAGTGAAAAAGAAAGTAGTTACAGAGTATGGTATTATTTTCCTTAGCAGTGATATTTAGATCTATTAAATAGGTTAATGTCATTTTGTTAGCATTTCCAGAACTTGGTCAATAATCAGGTTATTGGAAGATTTATAACTGACAGTTCTATGTTTGACAATGGGTTTACAAAACTAAAATTAAAGAACTGGATTTGGTAATTTTCATGTGTCCTTCTCTGAATTTTCTAATTACTGACAATCATTTTATTGTTGATAAATTAGGGTTGTAATGTACTAGAAAATATTAATGTTACAATACAGTATTTCCTGTAACATTAAAATTTCACTCTCTAATTTTCTCTACCAATGACTATTGACCAAGATAAATGAGCTGCATAAATCTCATATATGAAATACAAAAATAAATTGCAAATAATCAAAGATTAGAAACTCTATGTAAGTTCTAATAAGGATTTTGTTCATGACTAGGTGTTCACCTTTTTATGTTAGTGTTAAAAATTTACTTAATCCCTTATCATTTCTTAAACAATTCTAATCAAAATTGCTGCAGTATCAGTATATATTGAGAGAGAGAGAAAGAAAGAGAGAGAGAGAGAGAAAGAGAAAGAGAGAGAGGGAGGGAGGGAGGGAGGGATGGCGGGAGGGAGGGAGGAAGAGGAAGAAAGAGGGAGATTCTTAAGTACTGGAAATGCTCTCTTTCTGTCTACATGCCTTTTGACAAGCCCTGGTATTTGAAATCCTTCTTTACACTTCCTCATTTTCATGAGATGTAATATTAACAACGACACAAACTTTAAGATAAGTATTACACCTTGAAATATCTATGTATAATTTATTTTTAGCAATTCAGCAGCAATTTCCAAATACACTGGGGTGTATATATGTAATGGTATGTGACTATGTATAATCAGTTATCTGATAGTTTTAAAAGTGTATAGATTACATTTGAAGTCCCATAAAGTTACTTCATAGATATTAACCACTAGTTACAAGGAGATTCTGAAACAAATAACCCTACATGCAAAACAATGTAAAAAGAACTTCTAATAAGTGTTCACCATGCTCTCCACAGATATAAAATAATATAAAGATAATTGAAATATATAAAGCAAAACAGGCAGAAAAATAAGCACTATTATCTGGTTAGTGGATCAAATAGGGATGATCAAATAGGAAGACATCACAGATATAAAACTTAAATGATATTTTGAGAAAAGTATTACTTTAAAAAGCTCAAAAAAGATTTATCCAACACTCACTCTGCAAACAAATTATTAATTAAAAATATCCCTCATATTCACTTATTCTAAGATAGTAATAACAGAACAATGTGGGGCTACAGAAGCTCAGAAGTTATATATTGCCTGTTAGTAAAAAAGAAAGTTAGAAAAGGTAAGTATCTTTCATAAAACTTGGCTTAGTTTAATTGAAGAAAACATTTAAGCCTTTCTTTTAAAGTATGCTATTAAGCAACCAGTTGTTTAAAAAGTTTAATGGACACAAATTCTAACAGAAAAATCACTGAAATAACATCGCCTTCTGGGAAAAATCTTATTTGCAATCCACTAAAATAGAATAGCTACATAAACTTCAGTAGCTCACCATTTTAATGAACAAAGCACTTTACACAAAATAGCATTCTAAAACCAATAATTCTTTACATTAGCCACAAAACAATTCAAAACATGTATCTGTCACTTACGATCTACAGGATTAGAATTAATTTAGGCTCTGAATTTATATTACCTTAAGTATTACAATAAATGTACAAATAATGTTATAGTTTCTCTCAGGTTTTTACAAAACAAATGTAGTATTTTATCTCTTTTGGGCATATATTTCTAATAATAATAATGTAATTTCCAACACACATTGTCCAATTTTCTAAGTGGTACCTGAACAATGAGGCTGTGATCCACTCCAATGGCCATTTAACTGGCAGGTCCTTGATGAATGGCCTAGAAGGCTACGCTTTCCGGTGCAGGAATAGTGAACAGTGGACCCAAAGGTATACTTCTCCCCAGACAGGACTGCATTAGGAGGAACGCCAGGGTGTCCACAGTCAATCACTACAATACATAATTATTGGATATAAAATTTTTTTATATCTCCTATCGAACAACCTGCATCAACATTCTACAAAATAAACCAAAAGCAAATGATCTATTTAAATATATACAACCACCAGAAATCAAACATCTATGTGAAACCTGACTTTAAAAAAAAATAAAATGGAAGTTGGAGCTATAGTAGCAATTCTGTTATGCCACTCACTGTGAGCATGAGTTTCACAGGAACAATGTCAGTAAGCATAGATGACTGAATGAGCATAAGTCTGCATGTGCGGGGGTGGTGACTCTATGTTCATATGCACGTGTGCATGGGTTTGAAGTACATATGTGCCTAAATAAGGATGAGCAAATTAGTGAGAACAGTATATGTGGGTTGGCTAATTAAGGACATAGGATGCTAATAAGATTTAAAATGAGCCTATACAGCAATTAAAAAGGAAGATTTTGAGGCTGAATTTTCTTTATAATGTAGAAGTAGTTTGGGAACTTACTGTATCTCCCTTTATTTATTTTTTATTTTTTAAAAAATATATTTTATTGATTTTTTAGAGAGGAAGGGAGGGGGATAGAGCGTAAGAAACATCGATGAGAGAGAAACATTGATCAGCTGCCTCCGGCACACCCCCCTACTGGGGATGTGCCTGCAACCAAGGTACATGCCCTTGACCAGAATTAAACCTGGGGCCCTTCAGTCCGCAGGCCGATGCTCTATCCACTGAGCCAAACCGGTTAGGGCTGTATCCCCCTTTAAAACAAACTTGAAAAAATACTGAATACAATAATACTCTAGAATATTAAATAGCACACAATAGACACAAACTTAAATCCCACACTATCAGGGAGTGCTATAAAACAAAGAAAGGCAAAAAAGTATATGGAGCTATGAAAATCTGAAGTTCATGTTTCCATGTCCTACAAAATATTTTAACTTGAATGTTATAGCCACCACACAAGGCCACGTAACTAAATTAGTGAAGCTATTAGACCAGTGAGTGCACAATAAGAAAGTCAAATGCACTTTAAGAAAAGGAATAACAATTGACTTAATTATTTGCATAGAATCTGAAATTTAATAGACATTGAATAAACTTCTATTTATTCATTAGTGCATGAATGGTGCTACAATTTTTTTAAAAAAATCCCACCCCATGAAGTAAGGGCCTCTAAATAAAACATGACCATAAAATATTTTATAATTTAAAAATTAAGCATAATCAAAAATTATTTGCACAATGACTTTTTTATTTTTTTCATAGAATTTTTTCCTTTTTCTTTATTGTGCACAATGACTTTTTAAAAAATGTATTTATATTGATTTCAGAGAGGAAGGGAGAGAGATAGAAACATCAATGATGACAGAGAATCATTGATTGGCTGCCTCCTGCATGCCCCACCCTGGGGATTGATCCTGAAACCCTGGCATGTGCCCTGACCAGGAATCGAACTGTGATCTCTGGTTCATGGGTCAAAGCTTAACCACTGAGCCACGCTGGCTAGGACACAATGACTTTTTGACACAATATTCGTTTAATCTATAAAGTTATCTTTCTTATCATGTCCAAGATTCATCAATTCTTTGAGAAACTTAGCTATACTTACTGAATTCCTAGAATTTATGTTCACTTCCCTATGTCCTTACATAATTTTTATTTATTTTTGTTAAATTATTTTCACACTATTATATCACTATAGATATGTGCATATCTGGTATAATTTATCTTATTTATATTCTACAACTCCAACATAACATTTAACAAAATATACTCACTAAATATTCAATGACTTGATTTTATATATTAATACTTACTGCATCCCTATGTGTATGAATCTAAATATGATAAATATTTATGGTCAGTATGTTTTAAGTAACACTTTTGTTTAAATCCTCAAGTATTCTGAAGCCCTAGTGGTTGTTTATATTAAGACTACAATTACCTTAAATGAAATCTGAAATAGTAGTACCAAAGACAATAGAAATGTAGTTGTCCTTTTGGGATGGAATGAAAGGTGTGTGCTTTCCATATTCTATCTGCTCTATCAAAATTCAAAGTCAAAGAATGACAGAGAGCTATTCAGCACATTAATATTAACAAGAATGACATCTGGGAATTGAATTGGAAGAATGTAGGAAAGTCTAATTTCAAAACAATGAAATAATAAAATCAAAAGCAAGTTAAAATAATAATTAAAAACAAAATCCTTCTGATATATAGCTCTAGATATTTTCTAGGACAATAAATATCCATGCTGCTTACATGGCAGTTTTGAAGGAAGAATTCACATTATCTACTTACTGATACATTCCGGTAAAGGTTTGTCCCACTGTCCATTGGGTTGACATATCAAAACTGAAGATCCAAATAAAAAATATCCAGGATTGCAGTCATAGAAGACAACAGTACCATAGGTGAAGTTTCCATGTTCTATTTTACTTTCTCTTTTGGAATTGGGTGGAATTCCAGGATCAGAACAGTTCACCACTAACCAAATGAACAAATTTAAAAGGTATTTTGAAGTAACATGTATATACCTAACATAGATTACTATAAGAAATTTAGTTGTAAAGGTACATTTAATATAGCAAATTAAATATTTCAGAAATAAAATTAATATATTGACTATCTAAGATAATGAAATAAAATCTGGGCAATTTTTAAAATAAAGAAGAAAACTTTTTTGCAAATATTTTTAACAATAGCAACTCCATAAGCATTATGCTGAGTATAAATTTTTAAAATGATACTTTTTAAACTGTAGTTAAACCATAAAATAGTGTAAAGATTATGACTGAATTTTATGAGACAATATGAAGTATACCATACTTCTTTACAAAATGAAAAAACACCAAAAAATTATCTTTAATCAGTTTCTATGCTGAGAATAATAAGTAAACCCACTCCCAATTCAGCTATCATGGTAATTCAGGCCTCAAACATATTTTTCCAAAATATGAAGACAAAAGGCCATACGTAAGTTCCATTAATTATGGAGTAAATTGGAGGTAAAACAATCTTAAAGACTTTTTGTATGTAGTCACAAAATAGATAAAATATATTAAAGTTAGGCAGCTGAAATTAAACCTGCCAGTTTTAACTTAAAAAAGAAATAAGTTAAAAAGTAAGGAAGGCGGAAAGCATTGATAATGAGATGATATTAACATTAAATCTTTTTGTTTGAGTAGCTGAAAACGGGCCAACATTCTGCCCCAGCTGTTTCAAATGTTATCATCTACGTTTACACAGACACATTATTACCACACTCTAAGCTGGACCGGAGTTAGACTCTTACCTTTGCACACTGGTGGGGGGTGGCTCCACTGTCTGTTGGCCTGGCACTGTGCCTTTGTTGGCCCTTGCATGAGATACCCAATATTGCAAGAGAACGTTACCACATCATTAAAGTTGAATCCATTTCCACTTGTTCTTCCATAAATCGGACTACCAGGGTGACCACAGCTGACAGCTAAGAGCAATAAGTTGGGGCAGGGGAATCACAAAACAATATTTGGTTATCAGTAATGACAACAATTATCCTTAACCATTTCAAACACTGTAGAAAGAAGAGACTTTTATGTGAAAACATATCTAATGTACTTTTACTAATGTAAAGAAACAATTTAGAATGGTAAAACAATCTACTCTAAAAGGAATATTACATTAATAAATAGACAATCATTTACCATTATGGTACACAATGTTTAGAGTTTCATGGTACCTTTTTATTCTCTTTATTTTGTGGCAGGCAGGAAGAGGGGAGAGAAGACTGAAATTTAAAAATCTGGGCAAGATTGATGTCATTAGTAGCAGAAGGGAATGAAACTGAACCACTTTTCCTTTTCCAGTCAAGAATTGGAAGATAGCTGAAGGCAGTTTTTGTATTTAACTTTGAAATTATTTATTTTAATATTTATACCATCAATTTTTACAAACACTAGATGGATAAGGAAAGGTGTGTTGGAAGGATAATTTAATGTGACTATAAAATGTGAACCATAAAACTGATGCCGTATTAGAATTCTTACTGGTTTATTCTCTTTACAATTGATATTGGACAATGTAGCACAATTTTGTTTGTAAATAATGGTAACAACTAATCAATTATTTAAATCCTTTTAGTGTTACAGTTCCATTCCTGATTTTATGCAGGGCTGGCTTTTCCCAAACACTCCGTATTTCTATGAACTATTGTACAGCATCATCTCACTCTATAATCAGAGCAACTCAAGTAATAGTCCTTCATAATTGGACACAGTGAAAAATCAGTCACTTTTAGTATCTTTGAAATGACCCAAGAGCAGTTATTCTTCTGCTGTATTGTTAATGTCATCCTACTCATTTGGAAATTTAACTGCATCTTATTCTTGTTAAAATTAATGATAAAGAAATCTGTTTTACCCCAAGGGCCAATTTTCATTTATAGCTTAATTATTCAAAAAGAAAAATAGTGGTATTAGTTGGCTATGCTTGAATATAAATGGAAAAAATCTAGGAAAGGTACAAACATAATTTTGCTGTCTGTAAGTCATCATCAGACTTTCAGTATTTGTGTGTATGGGGGGAGAAAGTGTGTGCACCTTAGAAAAGTAGTTTTAATTTTTAAATATACGCTGCATTATCTTATTAAATCTCAACACACAAAAGTATTTTACAAGAAAACTAGAATTTCTGTTCATTGGATAAAAATTGACGATGAAATTAACACATATGGATGTGATTAGTTATAGAATATGTATTTTCTGTGAGTACACACTAAAAGTCACATGCATTATTTACCTGAAGCTGCCAAAATCTCAATTGTATGATAATATCATGTTACAATGACAACATATTTGCAGTGTTTGTTCTCATTTTCTAACATCAGTTTTAATATAAATGTCAGTAATTGGGAAAGGAAATAATTAGGAGAAAAAAATAAGAAACCCATTGATAATGACTTTCAGGTCCAAAAAAGGACAGAATATTATGTGAAACTATTATGTACTGTTGGGGATTCAGTGGTGTAAGGAAGCATAATAGAATTTACATATACATACACAAATATGTGTACACATGCATGAGTGTGTGTGTGTGTATGTGTGTGTGTACTTATATAAATAACTAAGAAAAAAATTCCTGGTTATTGCATGAGAACAGAGGTCTCTAATTACTTCTGCCATGCTTACTTACGCACACAGGATGGGAGTTGACCAGACCAATTGTGATCCTGCTGACATATTCTCACTGAAGAACCAATCAATCGAAAACCAGGATTACATTGATAAACAACTGTGTCTCTGTATCCATAATTTTCTCCAATGACTTGACCATTCACAATGAGTTCTGGAATTCCACAGTGACCCGCTGAAATGGTCAGAAAGTGATATTTTTAATACTGTGATCTATATTTTATTTGTGTATGTATATACATATGTAACATTACTAAACTTTTAAAGTTTACTTAGAAGCATGACATATATATATAATGCAAATATGATAATATGACATAAGATACTCAATAAAATATCATGTATTAGGGAATTTAAAAAAACACTTCTAGTAACACTTGGGTCTATAAGAAATTAGAATTTCAATCTAAAAATTAAAATGTAACATTGAAATTTGAGAAATACAGATAAAGCAGTGCTCAGTGGGGAAATTTATATGATGAAGTGCTTTTATTAGAAAGTTAAGATATATAATCAATGATCTAAGATTCTATCATAATAAGAGGAAAAAGAAGAGCAAAATATAAAAGAGAAGTAAAACTAAAATAGGTAGATGGAAGATTACATTAAAGAAAGTTAAAAAAATAAAAAAAGACAGAAAAACTATAGAGAATGTCATCTAATCTCATCAACACAAAATTAGAGATAACAAAATTACCAAAAACAGGAATGAAGGAAGTGATATCACTACAAGCTTAACAAAAATAAAATTATAAGAAAATTTAAAGAAGAGCTTGATGCCAGTACATTTAACAGTTCAGAAGAAGACAAATTCTTTGAAAATGATATCATACCAAAGTGAACACAAAAAGAAAATAAAAAATTTGACTAGTTCTTTATCTATTAAAAATATTTATATTCTTAAAACCCTTTCCACACACAAAAACACACACACTCTGGCTCCAACATTTTCACTTGTAAATTCGATCAAATAGAAAAGAAAGAATCACTTCCTAACTTGTTTTATGAGGTAATCCTAGTTGCAATAGTAATCCTGGGGGGGGTGGGGGGATACATGAAAAGAGCAATGTCTTTTATGACCATACGTCTAGAAAAGTAATAATTATACAGAATATCTGGCGTTTATCCAAAAATGAACAGCTGGTTTAAGATGCAAAATCAACCACTGTAACATACCATATTAAAGGAGAATTCCTTTGGGGATTATGTACTCCCAACTTTTCAGGAGTTTCCTTTGGCTCCACCAATCTGGCCAAAAGCCCAGGTTAGACTGAACACCTTCCCTAGTCATTTCAACTTCACTGTGCTTGTGCCCATCTTCCTCTTCCCCCATGATTGGCAGGGAATGGATCGGTGGTTACCTGGGGAGTGTGAAATAGCAGCTTCCTGGTGAAGCTACCCAGGTGACCATTCTTTCAATGTCTGGCCTCCCCTTTGCTCCTTTCCTATTATTAATAATTAATACTAGCTAGCTAGTAACAGAACTGGTAAAAGAAGAGATTTCTCTTGCTTTCCTCCTGCTTCCTTGAACTAGCCCTTGGTCCTGCCATAGTCATGTGGCCCTAGACGTGGATGGCCCAGGGCCATGTAGACCCCACACACAATGAACTGCAGCAGGGAACACAAGCTAACCGAGCCAGCTGCTGGACTGAAATGTGCTTCAATATGGAATGGAGGCTACAGGCAGTGGCTTTGATCTTGGCCTTGTGCTGGGGTCAAACCCCAGCAGGTCCAGGGGTCCCCAAAGGTGTGGACGGAGTCGGCGAAGAAGGAATGACACGGAGACAGCGTTCAGTTGATCAGCAGCCTTGCCAGGATCTCTAGCCACAATCTCCAGCCAAGTTCTGTGTCCATGTTCTCTTGCTAGGTTCTCCAGCCACGTTCTCCAGCCAGGTTCTGGAGCCATGTTCTCTCGCTAGGTTCTCCAGCCAGGTTCGGTTTAGGTTCTCCAGCCAGGTCCGGTCGCCAGGTTCTGTAGCCGGGTTCTCCAGTCAGGTTCTGTCTAGGTTCTCCAACCAAGCTCTGTAGCCAGGTTCTGTCCAGGATCTTTTGCCATGTTCTCTCCAGCGAAGTTCTTCTGTCTCTAGGTTCTGTGTAGGTTCTCTCTTTCACCCCCTCCCTAACTTCAGGGGAAAATCTCTACCTGGGGAAACAACCTTTCTCGGAGAGGTGACCTTGGTTAAAACACATAGTGCCAAGAAGGTGAGCAAATATATTAAGAACAGTATGCCATATATGCCAGGTCCCTTGAAACAGCAAGGATGGACCAGCTCCCGGCAGACTTGCTGAAGTTCAAAGCCATGGCGGGACAAGGGAGATGGGCCTTGGAAACCCATGGGTTTAATTCCACAGAAATAAAACTTTCTATGACACCTCGTCCTCCCATAGGGGCCTCAGGAAATTCTTACTGCCATAACAATCCAAGAAGCCCACTTCCACCAGTGAAAGGTGGGCACATGGAGGTGTCCCCACTAATAACAGTTCTATTTGACTTTGTTTGATTGGCCTTATCCATTGCAATACATTAATATACAAAAAGAAACAAGAACATAAATTTGGAGAACAAAAGGAAAACTATTCTATGCTTAGATAATATATATGTAGAAATTCCTATTTTAAGAAAATCATATAACTAATAAGAAAGTTTAGCAAGATTGCAGGATACTAGGTAAGTATTTTAAATAGTTACATTTTTATATACTAGCAGTAAACAATTGGAAGTGTAGTTAAAAATGAACAATTTCACTTATAATACTATAAACACACTGAACATTATGAGGAATAAATTTAGCAACAGACATTCATTAACTCTATGCTAAAAATACAAAATATTGCTATTGCAAAAAAAAGTTAAAAAAATTTAATAAGAAATATACTAAACATACTATGTTCATAATTGGAAACTTCAATATTACTGGATGCTAATTCTCCACAAATGATCTATAGATTTAGTGCAATCCTGATCAAAACCTACCAGGCATTTTTAAAAATAAAAATCAATAAATTAATTTCTAAATTTTTATGAACCTGGGAGGACGTACAGTATCCAAAGTTGCTTTGAAAATTAAGAACAAATTTGTAGGACTGACATACAAAATTTCAAAACAAAATATATTTTATAAATAATGCCAAATATCCTTCTGGGGAGGAAAATACACACACACACACACCCCAGGCAGTCCGAGTCCCGAGGATGTCTCTATCCCAAGTCCCAGATGTTCCCGGTATATATATATATATATACAAACACACACCTCAACATCAACATCTTAAAAATAGGCCATAGGTATAAAAGTAAGACCAAAACTAAAATTTCTAGAGGAAAACATGAAAGAAAATTGTAGTGACTTATGGTTGAGCAAAGGTTTTCTAAACAAGATACAGAAAGCAATAACCAAAAAGTAAAAAAAAAGATAAGATAAACTTTATCTAAATTTAAAACTTCCACACATCAAAAGATACCATTATGAAATGAATACACAAGTCACAGACTGGGAGGAATTATTTAGAAAACACATAATGTTGAAGACCTTGCAACCAGAATATACAGAGAACTCTTACAGTTCATAATAAAAGATACTTTACCACTTCACAAAAGAAAATTTACAAATGGCCAATAAGCCCAAGAAACTGTACTACATCAGTAGTTATCAATATAATGCAAATTAAAATATTATAAAATAGCTTTATGCACCCAACAGAATGAATAAAATTAAAAAACTGACTATACCACATGCTGGAGAAATTGTGAGACCACCAGAACTCTACCAGGAATTTTACACCTGAATATCCAAAAAAATAAATGCATATACCCACAATAAGAGTTTTATACAAATATTCATAGCAGCTTTAATCAGTTTTACATGAATATTTATAGGCACTTTACTAATAATAGTCCCAAACTGACCAGAGCCCAGGTGTCCATCAACAGAGGAATGGCTAAGTATGGCAGAGTCATACAATGGGATGCTTCTAAGTGATAAGAGAAAAATTACTGATACAGATAGCAGCATAGATGAAAGAGAATGAAAGAAGCCTTACTCAAAAGGGTATATATTTTAGGAATCCATTCAAATGAATTTCTAGAACAGGGAGAACTAACATACATGAAAAAAATCAGAACAGTTATTGTCTCAGGGTTGGGGAGAGGAGCTGCTGACTGGCTGCGAAGGGCCATGGGAACCTTTCTGAGGTAAGGGCAATGCTCTCTAACCACACTGTGATTTGAGTTACACAGGAGCACATACTTGTCAAAGCTCATCTAAAGTGTATTTATGATATGTGCATGTCATTGTACATACTATTTATCACAGTAAAAAAGGAAAGAAAACGTTAAGGAAATATTGCACTCTGGCTAATGATATGCATGCTGAAATGTTTTGCAATGAAGTGTACCAATTTCTGTAATTCACTTCAAAATGCATCAAAAAATAAAATGAATTGATGGATTGATAGAGGCTTGAAAGGATAACAGATAGGCAATAAGCAAATACAACAAAATGCTACTTGTAGAATCTAGGCTAGAGGTGGACATATGAGTGCTCAAAGTTAAGTTTTTCAATTGAAAAATGCATAATAAAATGGGGGACTGGAAATAAATGCATTCTATTTAGATAAATAATTATAAGCATATTCTAGTGGCATTCTAAGACAAAAGTGTCTGGGGCTTTAAGGACAAGTTGTTTTCAAACATAAGAGAATGACTAGACTACATGAATCTGTAAGGTCAGTGTAAGCATAAGAAGCTAGGATTTGCTTGGTTGGCAACTGCGCTTTCCTTCTACCAACACCCTTTTAAATTTATATCTGATGTCAACACTATGTCCTCTGCAATGGATGATGATGTTGTCTTCACAGACTGAGAGACAATATTTTTCATAAATATTGCTTTTATTTCCTGTCTCTTCACAGAATAGAATCAGGATTCTAAATAGATGAATAAAACCACGCTCTATAGTGGGGGGTTTGGGGGAAGTGGGTGGGTTTCCGGCCATATAAGGCCCACAAAATCATTTGGTCTGGCCCTGCCAATGCATCAGTGGTGTGTTAATTAAATGTTTGACCAAATATAGCGGGCTAATTTTTAAGTTGATAATTTTGTAGGCCCACAAAGATGTTATAAAAATCCAAATGGCTCTAGGCAGAAAAAAGGTTCCCCACCCCTGCTCTATAGGCAATAGTCAATAAGTAATATACAACAATAGCTCATAAGGGCACAGAGGCATAAAATATAATATTTTAAATTTCGTTTTCATATAGATTTTCAAAGGTATAAGTAAACTAAATAATCCGTACTTGAAATCAGCATATCCAAAATCAGTTTAGGAATTGTTAGGAAACATTTTTATCTGATTAAACCTATATTAATACATAAAGATATAATCTACTTAATTTTTATATAGTATCCATATTGCACATTAAATGTATGTACTCTTATAAAGGAACTGTTGTTGCTATGTTTTAACAAATATTTCCGAAGGGAGGAATTTTACAAAACATCTAACCAAATATTTGCAATTTCAAGTTGTCATCGTATTACCATGAATATTTTCAAGCTTATTAGCAAAACAGTGTGCATTTATTTATATATTTAGCTATTCATTTATTTTGTTAATCCTCATGGAGGATATTTTTCCATTGATTATTAGAGAAAGTGCAAGGGAAGGGGAGAGACAGAGAGAGAAACACCGATGTAGATCAGTTGTCTCCTTGCCTCCCGCACACGGCCAAATGGGGGATCTAACCCACAACCTAGATAGGTGCCCTGAATGGGAATCCAACCTGCCACCTTTTGGTGATATATTCAATTCAAAGAACCTAATGGGGGGAAAATCCTATTTGTCCTAAAATCAGGTTTGAAAAAATAGATATCTTAAAATTTTAGTAGAAAGTAATATTACACATGTTGAAACTGTAAAATTAAAAGGGAGAAAGATATTTAAATGTGGAAATTATTTTTCTTCTTTAGTCATTATCTTAAGCAAATAGGTGAAACTATGGTTTAGAATGAATTAATTGCTACAACGATTACTGCAGCTGAGTAGGCAGACGTATGACTTTCAGAAATTAGTTTTCTCCTTTTTATGTCCACCATGCCTGGAATAAAATGTGTCCCTCCTTAATGACACGAGTCTCATTTGCCATACTAGTTGATTAACTTCCCGAGTTATCCGTTTAATAGCTTTTCTACCATGGGACATTTTTAAAGTTAACATTTTCTAGTTTTTTAGACTCCTTACTGAGTGAATGAAAGTTTCCCCTTCTCCCGAGGGGAGGAAAAGAAAAAAGTTTGTTTAAAATGTTGTACCTAGGCATCTGGTCTCAGATCCACTCCAAAGACCCGACGAGAGGCATTCCCGTACAGCAGAGCCCACGAGAATGAATCCCGCATCACAGGTGAAGATGGCTGTGGAGCCATATGAGGTTTGAGTTCCGATCTTATTTCCATTTGGAGGAGTAGGTAGTTCTCCACAGGAAATAACTACAAAACAATAAAAATTGAAAACTCTTAAATACATAGTTAATAAACACTTGTAACTAAACCGTGCTTGTAGCATTTTGAATTTCCTATGATTTCACATATTTACAATGAATCTGACATCTGTAAACCATGTTTGAATGAATGTGAAAATGTAGAGAAAATAGATGTCATAGTTAAAAGTTGCTCCCCTTTAACTTCCCATAAAAATCTTCTAGGTTACAGTGACATGTGATGAAGCTGTTTTATATGCACCGTTACTTAGCCAACCTGGTTTTAGAGGGGTGGAAAAATCATCAGGTCTTTCTCTGACTTACCCAGTGCCATTGGGCAATCCCTTTGACTTACCTGAGCCAAAGTTTCCTCATCATCTAAACAATGCTAACACAGTAATTATAATTACTTTTGTTGAGGGCCCTGTAGTTTATAAAGAATGCTTTGTATGTGAAGCATTTGGTTCTCACAAGAATCATTAGGTATAATTATATTTCACATTGTGTTTGTAGGTTTCAAAAATTGAAAAAGAGAGATTAACTCACTTGCTAGATCATTTAGAACCCAGCTCTTATGACTCTGTCATATTTAAAGATTACAAATGAAGTCTCTTTCTAGAAAAGAATAATGGATTATGTTTATTGAGTCCTTATTTTGTACCAGAAAATATTACGAATCTTTTCATTTATGTAATTCGCAGAACTCTGAGATAGATTCAGTCATGGTCTGAATTGTATACATTAGGATATGATATGAACACATAGAAATTAAGTAATAAGGTCACACAGCCTGTAAATAGCTAAATCAAAATGTAAGCCCATCAGTCTAACTCCAAATCCAACACTTCACCATCAGCCCATATATTTTATTCTGCCTCCAGCTCTGGCTTTCAGCTCCAGGCTTTAGATGGCCATGAGATAAACAAATAGAAAATTTGCAAACTTTAAATATTTGCATATAAAACTTAAAATGTATTGATAGTTTTGAACTAACGCCCCAATAATCCTTTGAGGCAGCTAATTATTTATTAACACTAATAATATTAATGTATATTGTTTTAATTTAAATAATGAGTAATAAATGGACCAGAACATTGACTATTTTTTCTATTTTTTCTCAATGAGTTGCACTTGTTAGAGTCCTTGTCGCTCCCCATTCGTAGCTGTGGGCAGTAACCTGATCCTATTGATCAATTAAACCCTTCTACATAATGGAGGACTGAGCACAAAGGAACCAAACATCTATTGACAGATTAATGTTCGGGCTGTAGATCATTTTCCTGCTCTTTGAAATATCTCTATGCTATGTGCCTTTTAATGAAATTCTGTTTTTAAAAATGAGGGTGGAGGCAGGGAAAGATCCTGGGAGAAAACGTGGCGAACCTATGACACGTGTGTCAGAGGTGACACACGAACTCATTTTTTTGGTTGATTTTTCTTTGTTCAATGGCACTTAAATATATAAAATAAATATCAAAAATATAAGTCTGTGTTTTACTACGGTTGCAAATATCAAAAAATTTCTATATGTGACAAGGCACCAGAGTTAAGTTAGGGTTTTTCAAAGTGCTGACATGCCAAGCTCGAAAGGTTTGCCATCACTGCCCTAAGGAATAGGGTAAGAATTTACAAATACAGATGCCATATTTTTAGAATATCAATTAAAATTTAGATATCTATCTTGTGGATTTTAATCCATCAATATGACTATCTTATAAAAGTACAACCCCAAAGTCCTATGTTTACATAAAGGTTAAAAATAAATTTTAAAATAGAATATAAGTAGAAGAAAACTATGTAAGTATGTACTTATTACACATAGATAGTTGTCTGCTATGTGAAACTTCTTACTCATCATTAGACTTCTGATTCCTTTATCAGTTTATTTATAAAATATGTGTCTATGCCAGAGGTGGCATACAGTTGTGTTGGACACAAAATAAAAGGATTAATTTTTAGCCTAGCATATTTCCTGGCACTAAGTAAACAATAAATGCATTGAAGGAAACTACTTCAAAGAGAGTTTGAGATATTTCACCTCAATATTCTATGTATAGTTATTTGCTCTAAATAAGACATTTATAAGAATGCATAGAAAGACAATATGTTTAATTTGATTCAATAAGTCTTTATTGAGCTCTTGCTGTGAATCAAGTTCTAGCTGACATTTTTCAAGATATCATACCATTAAATTTTTATAATAACTATGAGATATACATTCTCATTCTACATAATAAAGATGTAATATGCAAATTGACCGTCATGCCCTCACACAAGATGGCTGTGCCCATGTCGTCACAAGATGGCTGCCCCATGTGGTCACAAGATGGCCACCACAAGATGGCTGGCAAGAGAGGGAAATTGGGGGCAAACAGGCCAGCAGGGGAGGGCAGTTGGGGGTGACCAGGCCAGCAGGGGAGTGACTAGGGGTTGATCAGACTGTCAGGCAGGTGAGCGGTTGGGAGCCAGCAGTCCCGGATTATGAGACGGATGGCCTATACCGGCAGTTGGACATCCCCCGAGGGGTCCCAGATTGGAGAGGGTGCAGGCTGGGCTGAGGGACACCCCTCCCCACTGGTGCGTGCACTCTCTCCAATCCGGGATACCTCTCGCAATTCAGGACTGCTGGCTCCTAACCGCTCACCTGCCTGCTTGCCTGACTGCCCCTGACTGCTCTCCCCTGCCGGCCTGATCACCCCTAACTACTCTCCCCTGCTGGCCTGATTGTCCCTAACTGCCTCTGCCTTGGTCCCCGCCACCATAGCTTTGTCTGGAAGGATGTCTGGAATATGTCCAGTCTAATTAGCATATCACCCTTTTATTAGTATAGATATGAATAGAAGATGGAGTTACAGTCAGACTGCTTGGGTTGAGTACCATTTCTCCACCATTTATAAGTTCTGTGAGTAGTGCAAAATGATAAAATCTGGGGCATAGGTTCCTTTTTGAGAAAATGGATATAATATCAACTAATTTATAGTATGGGAACTAAGGAATAAAATAATACCTGTAAGGGGCTAAAAGTAGTGCCTGGCAAATTGTGCGTATGCAATAAGTATTTTCTAGCTGTTGTAGTAAGTGATAGACCAAGAATTCATGTGCAGATTTCTGAATCCAAAGCCAATGCTTTTTTCATAAGCACTTACTAATAAAAAATTAGAAAAATTTTAAATGCAATGAGAATAAATGACCACTTAAAAATTATGTCATTGCCCTAGTGTGTTTGGAAAAAGAAGTGATCAAGAAACTATCAATCACCAAAGATAGCTTATGAAATAAGTTGAGGAGAGTGCATACTTACTTTGGCAATATGGTCTTTCATTTCTCCAACTCCAGGTACCATTCGGAAGGCATTCAATAGAAGCAGGACCTAGTCCGTGATAACCAGGGTCACAGCTGAAAACTACCTTGGTTTTGTATTCATAGTGGGAGCCATTCACAATTCGCCATCTTCCATGTTCCAAGGTAAAGGAATTGATGCTTGGACATGTGACAACTATGTAAAAACCAAGAACATAAATGTGAATAAGTCAACCATGTTTATTCTACCTCTTAACCATACCTCATGTCTATTCCATCATTTACATCACCACTGCCTTAATTCATTCACTATTGTGCCATACGATGTCCTTTAGCATTTGCTTTCTATTTCTTTTTCATGTAATCTTTTCCACTCTACACTTCTGTGGTAGAGCTTGAAGTTGAATATGTCCTGTTATTTCACACTTCAAAGTCTATGTACAGCTTTATAGCAGTGTAATTGACAGAATGTGGAATAAGGGAATCCTTATACAAGTTGGTGAGAATTTAACCTGGTACAGCCATTATGGACCACATACATACAGCTAGTAAAGTGGTTCCTAAAAAAAATTAAAAGTAAAACTCCATATGATTCAGTAATCTCCCTTCGGGGTATATATTCAAAGGAAATGAATCGAGATCTTGAAGAGATATCTGCACTCTCATATTCATTGCAGCATTAGTCATGATAGGCAAGATATGGAAACAACCTATTCTCTTATTTCTTCAGAAGTTTTGAAGGGACTATATTTTGAGAAAAAAAATTTTTACGAGTATGTTTTTTTATGCAAGATTTGTGAAATAAACTTTGGCTAATTCAAAACTTGCTCAACATACTAGTAAACAGAAGCACTGTTAGACATACTAAGATTGAAAATAATTAAACACCCTCATTTTAAATGAAATCACAGCTAATTTTAGTACTAAATGAAAAAAATCAAACTATAGAGACAAATTAAAGAGCTTATTTAACCCAAACATTCTCTAATCCTTTTGCTACCAAATGTTTTACCAGAAGTATATTATATTACCATTATATAATATTCATTTACTTTCTAATGTAGTAATGGCGGCAATGGAAAATATTCTAAATATAAGTAACCTAAAGAATACTAACAAAAGATGAAAATTATGGATCATATCAGAAGATTTATTTATCCTTTTAAAATTCAGGGCTGAAAGTATTGAAATATAATTTATTAATGACAGCCTAAAACATTTTTTTCCTGTACATTAAAACACATGTTGATTGCTGAATGACTTTTTGCAAAATAAATGAAACTTTGTTATGTAAGATAGCCAAATTACCTTTTCCTCCTAGATATCATACTTCAAGATTTCATGGATTAATTCTAAAATTTAAACAATACATATAATTTCAAATCATGTCAGATGCCAATAGAAACACAAATGATGAAATTTCAGTATGACACATACCAACACAGCGAGGGGTCTTGTTATGATTGCTCCAAGTTCCATCTGATTGACATATAGCAGTGGTAAGTTCCTTAGATGACAATCTATATCCATCATGGCAAAAATAGGTAACTCGGGTTCCTACTAAGTAGTCTGTTGTGAGTATTCCTCCATTTGTTGGAGCTTTAGGGATCCCACAGGAAATTGCTAGAATAAATACATAGATACAAAAATCATAGAAACATAAAAATAATTTATTAGATGTTTATTCAAATTTATTTTAATGTTTATTCAAATTCTGTATGATTTAGAGGTTATTATATACTAGAGGCCTGGTGCATGAGATTCGTGCATTCGGTGGGGGGGGGTACCTCAGCCCAGCCTGTGCCCTCTCACAGTCCGGGAGCCCTTGGCGGATGGCCCGAGCCATCAGTCAGACATCCTTTGTGTTGCCACAGAGGCAGAGAGGCCCCCGCCATCGCCTCTGTGCTCGCCAGCTGTGAGCCCCACTCAGGGCTTCTAGTTGAGCGGCACTCGCCCTGTGGGAGCGCACTGACCACCAGGGGGCAGCTCCTGCATTGAGCATCTGCCCCCTGGTGGTCAGTGCATGTCATAGCGACCGGTCGTTTTACCCTTTGGTCAGTTTGCATAGTAGCCTTTTATTATATAGGATATTTTAAATTCCTATGATTCTAAAATTATGAGATCAAAGATTTTTCACCAAACCAGTTCCTAGAAATTATTTAATACTAAGAATTGGTAAACGTTCCTGCTAGTCATTGGTCAATGGAAAGCAGAGATTTTCACATTTATTAATATATATTCTACATGAAGTCAGCACCTTCAGTGTTTGCAATCCAGTAAGATATGACAATTCCCAGAATTCTAATAAGTGGGTAATGTTTCCTGCATCAATAAAACAAAGAAATAATAATTCTTTCATTTCTCATTTATTTAGACATGCCTATGAGATTTACCTTTTCATGAATTAGAAATCAGAGTTTACTAAGTTTGTAAAGCCATTTTGGATGTCAGGTAATATGTATTCTCTGCTTATTTTAACTTGCTGTTGTTTAATTTTAAATTTTAATTAATCTATCTTACATTTTATTTATTTTATAAAAATCACCTCCCTTAAGTAGATTATATATCAGAACCATTATTCATTAACTCTTAGTTAATGTGAGGGGTTCATAGTTGTGATATACACCACCACCTTCTGGGTAGACTAAATCAAATGTAAAACTAAATTTCATATTGACAAAATAATGTGATATGTCAAATAATTAAAAATATTCAAATCCCAATGATGTAAGACCTTCTTGATGCTGATTTTATCTTGATGACTATACCTAGCTATAAGAGACTCAACAACTTTTTAAAACAAGACCTAGTACAAAGCTCTAAAAATGTGCCATTTGTTTATTAAGTAGCTTGTCCTTCTGTTTGCTATAGCAGTATGCAATGTTCAAACCATGCCTCACTTTTTAACAAAATTGAAATGAAAATAAAAGAGAGATCTCTGTTGAGTTAGCTAAAGAATGAAGAAGAAATAATGGAGTGGTTAGCTATATCTTCCCCTTTTAAATGTGTTGCTCTGAGAGGACACTTTGGCATACTCAGAGTGAAAATCATCAATGACCTTGGCCTCTCTTATCCTCTCTATTCTTTCTGCAGACTCCACAGTAACAGTCTCCGGCTCAGGGTCAATCATTTTCTGACAACAAAGTAATGGAAGTGGTAGATGTATGAGCAAAGTATGTATAGCAGTGAATAAAGGCATAAACCACACTACAACAAATGAATTTAAAGCAACATATCACATTCTCAAATTTATCATTCTATGTTTTTAAGCCTTATTTTCGTGAGAAGCTTCAATAAAATGCTTCTGAATACCTATATATTTGGAAATTACAGTGTTCCAAATTAAAAAGTAAGAAGGGTTAATCTTTTATTAATGGATTTATCTTGGCTTGAATGAAATACTTTACCTTGACAAGCAGGGACAGGCGCATCCCATGCGTGATACCCATAGGAAGACTTCCTGCACACGGCACTGCTTTTCCCAACGAGTCGGAATCCTCGGTCACAGGCCCAGCGGACCACACTGTTGAGTTGCCCACCTGTCTGACTGATGATGTACCCATGAGGTGGGGATTCTGGTGTACTACAGTAGAAAGCTTTTCCAAAGAAAAAAGTATCACTGTATAATTAATTAACCAGCACTTCTTTACAGCCCAGAGTTATACAAATCTATACATGAATACCAGACTTAAAAATAGGCCATCATGTGAATTTTGTTTCATATGGTTATATTATTTCCTACCCTCTTTTTTTTTTTAAATGCTTTTATTGATTTTAGAGAGAGATGAAGGGAGAGGGTTAAAGAGATAGAAACATCAATGAGAGAGAATCACTGATTGGCTGCTTCCTGCATGACTCTTACGGGGATCAAGCCTGCAACCCAGGCATGTGCCCTGACTGGGAATTGAACCAGTGACCTCCTGGTTCATGGGTCAACCCTGAATCACTGAGTCAGACCAGCCAGATTATTTCCTATCCTCTTGACAACCTACTGACATAACTTTTATGAGACATAACTATCTCTGGACTCTTTTTTTTAATTTTTATTGTCACCAAAGTTGCCTTCTAAATTAAAATGTCATATTTTCTTAACAACCTAGAGGTTCAAAAGCCCTATAAATATTTCAGTGAATTTGGAAGCTATATTTCCTGTCATTTGAAGAGCCTAAATGTCACAGCCTTGGTAGGCATATTTTAGATCATGTTGTTTACATGTCACTTTGAAGTTATCTCCAGACACCTATATCATGTTAGATCATGCATTTGATGTCTAAAAAAGATCCCCTACATTCCATAATCCTTTCTCCCCGTTTATTAAAGAGTTTCCATGATGTCAAAAGTGCTTATATATGGAGATATTTTTTAAAAGCCAATAAAATAAACTTTTTCCATCTCCAGAAGTCTGAAATGTCACGAGATAATGTCAAATGGCTTTTTCACATACATGTACTTTGAGAATATGCAGCCTGGCAGAATCCATTTACCCTTTGAAACCTCAATGTATTCATCTGAGAAAAATTAGACTTTATGGATAAATGGTAGGAAGTAGACTGGACTTAGAATATTTATGTCATAACCTGTTACTTTTAAAGGAAAAATACATAGT